GTTACATGAACACAGAGTCATTAAAAAACAAAAATGAAATACTTTTTCCATTTTTAATGGGGCCAGTCTCCTCTCAACAAGGCCTTAACACATTCAGGCAGACGCATTTGCCTCTGTGTGTCTGTTGGGTTAGTGCTGCTGATGGATGTCCCTTACATCCTGCCTTGCGTGACCGCTGAGCCAGATAGCCATCAGTACCCAAATGAGTTCAGGTCAGGCCCCTGCGCTTCACTCCAAACCTCATTTGGTATGCAAATGAAAAACCCAAACAAAGCAAACCTTTCAGGGGAGTAATTTACTAACTGCTCCCTTTGAAGAGACCCAGCTTCACTTAGGGTTAAAGACTAAAAAGCTAATAGGTTACCTTTAATGCTTTAGTGGGGACTTTTTGCCACTTTTAACAAGACTGAGTCTGGTGGTCTGGAAAACTAGTCCAGCTCGGTTAACTGTTATAATTAAATCACTTTTCAGGAAGCATTTGATTCATACTGAAATATTCTTACAGAGAGGGGGGAATTTCATTCTCATTTGAGTAATAGTGGAGCAGTGTTGATGGTGGTTTTCCTCCTACACATCATGAATCAGCTCATTATCGAAAGCACAATATTGAGATATTTATCTCAGGATTCACAAGTTCGACTGATTGATAATGAGTGATTTCATTGCAGTTTGGGTCACTTTTCACAGCCTACAGACTCAGATAATCACCTCCCTCCATCTTTGCCAACGTAGTTCAGCAGCAACCTGCGCCACGCCCCTGCTGAAACAGGATCCCGCTTTGGCATTGTGCTTATTGTTGAGAGACTAATCTCGACAATTACACCTCGAGACCGAAAGTGGCTGCCTTGCCCCGCATCCATCAAGCCAGGCCCCATCCAGGCTCTGGGATTAAGCCCCCTCCTGTTTGCCCCTAAGGGTCAGAAGCCCCACCAGCCCTGTTGTCACTGCACCCCCATCTCCCGCTCTTCAAACTGCTGGTTTGTCTTTCTCAAGTTTTACTCACCTGCACTTTGTTCACCTGCCGCTCTCGCTGTAACCTGGCCGGGTTATTGTTAGGACAAGAAAGGTGTGTGGACACAAAGAGAGGCAGGTATGAGAGCAAAGGGCAGGTATTTCAGGTTATGGCGGGCTTACACGGCTGGGAAGTAGGCAAAAGTTTGCACATGTGACTATACCTCATAGATACATGTTTTTGATTATTTTCCCCCTCATTGTGTCGGCCTCATGAGTTATTCCCTGGGCTTGGACAGGATGGGTGTGTTCGACAGTTGGGGATGATGGTGGTTTAGTTGTTGTCTGTGTTGTAATAGGAACAGAGGAGGTCGTTCCCACAAAACAGAAGCCTGGGCTGACATCATAAAAAACACAACAAGTTACCTGGGGGCTGCTGGGAAGGGCGGAGTGAACCGGTGAGGTGGGAGCAAGAGGGAGAGTGTGGGGGGGTTATCTTAACCACTATTGGCCGAAGACCGCAAAAGGGACACACCTGTGAGCGCCAGAGGCTAAGGAGATTGGCTGCGACCTGAAAATTACACCTGTGGGGGATAAGGGGAGGAGGAGGGGTCAGGCTACATGTAAACCAAGCCCTTTACAAATTCAGGCTCTGTCTTCTGGAGGAGCTTAACCGACTCACACCGCCGACAGGAGAGCTCCTGGAAAAAAACAAGTTCTGCTCAGGCGACAGGAAGAGAGCTGACGTACTTCGAGAACTGGTTGGTTTTGTTCCGGGGTTTGGCCCTTCCTCCAACGCGACGTCTGCATCTACCTGAAAGGGACGTTTTTTTTTCTCCTCTTCCCAACCGCCACTCCAGAGGTCGACTGTCCTTCAGCGGGAGCAGGAAAGAAGAAGACTAGCCAACAGGCGTCAAGAGCCCTCATACAATGATGCCTCTTGTCTTGGGTTTCTGGCTCGGTGACCACACCTGGGAGAGTCGGGGTAAATTCACAAACGTGATCTCTTCTTTGTCTTCACTCTTCACCTTTGAGACTTCAGCTGTCGTCATAGCCTGTTGCTCAGTGACGGTAAAGTTATGATTTAAGGACAATCATCCCTCGGCTAAGATCAGGAAATGTGCGGCAAACAAATTAGGTCATCGTGCGAAAGCCCTCTGCAATTGTACGCTGATGTAGGAGGGTCCGGGTAGTTTCGATGGGAAGTGAAAATAATGTGTATCGAATTCCAGCTTCTTTTAAGCAGAGAGAAAGAAGAGGAAACAATAGAAGCCAACGCTCATTCCTAAACTGGATAGACCAGTTGGGGCAGGTAAAGGCAAACTGCCAGACTTGTCAAAGGATATGAAGACTGAGGCTGACTCCGTCTTTTAGAGCTTTTAAACTTTCTTACCAAGGAGACATCTACGGTATGGCAAAGCTTTAAACGTTAATTATCTTTAAGTAATAGCTTTAACTAACATCGTTGCTTAGCGCTGGTTCATACGAGTTCAGAGCTCATTTAGCAACTTTTCTCTGCAACCTGTTGAGCCGTATAGACATGTGAGAAGATGTTTTCAGGACTGTAAATACCCACGGTTCATGTGTAGCGCTTGTTTTTGGCTTTGGCGGTGGTAATTTAACGGGAAATACCTACTTTATATGCTTTTTTTATAGAAGGAGAAGGATGCCTGTAGGAGAGTGGATGTGTGTTGGACATAAAATGTCTGCTCATCCGTTTTCATCGCCTTTAAGCTACGGCTGCATGTCGAGTCAAGAGCGAGGCTGGACTTTTCAGAGCAGATCATATCTGTTAGATCCAACATATACAGAATTAAGAGCTCGAGGTTACTTTTAGGATACTGCTTTTTCTTTTATTATAGCTGAGGACTGCTGCAGTCTGCTGAGGAGAAGGGGAAATGGAGGGAAAATGTCGACCATGTACTGTACAGTGGCGACTGCAGAGCGAGGTGGAGGATTGTGATTGGTGGAAAGAGCAACATTTGTTCATTTCTTTCATACACCTGAATAGCTGCGAGTCACATGAGTGCTCCTCGCTCTGCCTGTGTGTGACAACAGGGCGGGAAGTGCAGAGGAGATTTCAACATGTTAGATTCAAAGAGGAAGGCTGGAAGAAACGGTGCAGGGCTGTTTTTATGAGGCAGCAGGTTTTTTCAAATGAAAGGGGACAGCAGGTCATGTCACTCTGTGGGGTGAGAGGTGTTGTTCAGGCTGTGGTTAGATTGAGCTGGTCGGGTGAGTGAAGCTGTATCATGGGTCAGGGAGTTTTTCTAACAGTTAATGCTATGCTAACCTTTAATGATAGTGTTTACTCTCAAAAATGTAGATAAGCTTTTAGCATTTTCTCCTCAGAGTTTAAAGTTAGAAAAATTTTTTTTTTGTCAATCAACTTTCAATGGACTTTAGCTAATGTGATCAAAAGTTCCTGTCACCATGGAGATGACTAAGCATAATTGCCAACTAAAAGGAGAAAGAATTACTTGCAGATTTTACTACTTTTAAAACTTTTTTTCATATTCAACATTTCTTTTTGATTTTAAAATTTTTTTTTTTTTTCATTTTATTCAGATTTGTCATCACTTTTTGCAATCTCTGGAATTCCTTTCATATATATATATATATATATATATATATATATATTACAGATTGTATCTCACTTTTTCCACTTTGGTAATCAAATATCCTACATAATCACACATTCTACATTATTTCTTGAAATATCTTACAATAACTTCAGATAGCTCATAGATTTTATATTCTTATTTAAAAACTTTTTAAAATAAGTCTTAAATTGATCAGATTTGACTTCACTTTTCTGCAATTTCTTTTACATTTAAAAGATTTTTAATCAATTTTATGAAATTTTAACAGGCTCAAAATATTTAAGATTTCTCATTCTGAAAAGTTTTACGTTTTTCAACATAATCAAAATTATATTCATCTCATTTACTCAGTTGTCAGTTGCAGTATTATGAAGAGAAGAGTTGAGGCAGTGTAAGTAAAAGTATGCAAAAAGGACCTCTTTTGATAATCAAATTAGTTGAATATTTTAAAGCTTCATTGAAATAATTCAAAATAGGAAGGCGAAACAGATGTGATGGAAAAGTGGGAGGAGCTTCTGGCTCTGATATGACATTTAAACCTGCTCCATCCTTGCATTTATATGTAGAAACAGTGCTGAGTAGCTGCAGTGGCTCATGGATGATAAGCAGCATCAGGGCCTACACATCAGGGCTGAACCTCAGCAGTCTGGGGGCCCAATTAGGTGTCGCAGAGATAAGGTCGGGAGTTAAATAAGGTTTTGGGTTTCCCTGCCATTGTTTCCCCACAAAGACAGCAACTATTGATTAAGGGCCAGGCCAGTTTACCTATCGGGTTGTTGACTCCACGGTGGAGTCACATTCCAGCGCAGAGGGCAGAGTTACCTGATCACGCCTCACTTCGAACAGGCAAAAAGCGTGGGCAAGTGGTTCAGACTCCCACAGAGCTCCGTGTACAACAATGGGGAACTTTACGCCGAGTGTAACACTGAGAAGAGCTGAGGAAGAAGTTTTTGGACTAATTGAGGCAAAGTTGGGGACACAGCACTCCTTTAAATGTCTTCACCTTCCTCTACTTTGATCAGGTACTGTTCTTTTCACTGCTTGTTTCTAACCTGCTTGAACTTTCGGGGCTAATCTATTTTTTCACTCTTTCATTCTCCCTCTCTTCTTCCTCAGAGGGCCTGCAGCACTGGTTTATAATGCTGATGATTAACTAAATAGAGTCTGGGAGAGCAGGTCTGCTTGGCTTTCTCATTTCATGGGGCCTGCCTGACTGACCGGGAGGAAGACGCGGCGTTCTCAGGCAGCGGGCTGGAAATTCAAGTTCTTTTCTTTTTTTTTTTCCTTCCCTCTTTCTTTTTTGGCCCACTCCCTCCAAACGCACTCACTTTACTTTGGTTTTGTTACATTCTTTCCTTGGGGTACCTTTCATGACGGTAAGGTTACAGGTGCATTCTCCCTTTTCCTTCTCCACCTTGTTTCCGTGAACTTTTCCCTCCCTCATGCTCTCTTTTCTTTCTCTTGCCTTCTCCCTCCCCCTCCTCCTGTCTCTTGTGATCTAGTTTTGCCTTTCTTGCAGGATAACTGGAAACTTGATTTTAGTTTAAGAGCACAATTATGTCCCTAATTGTACTTTTTTTCTGCTCAAAGAAAAATTGGGTAATATTTTAAAAGTAACTTTGGTCAGGATTATAAGAAGAGATGGCTAGATCCTTTTGCTTACTATTTATTCCCAAACTGAACCTTTTCTTAAGACTGTATTTTATTCAAACACCACCAAATGTACTAACAGCTAATTAGGTTATAATGCTTCCCTACTGCTTTAGATATAAGTGTAATAATGTAGGCCTGAATGTGAACGATGGCGGGTGTTAGGATTTCACGCGGTGTACCTGTGAATGATCCATGTTATTCAGTAAACGAGGGCTGTTTCAGTGACCTTCTGCACACACAGCACCGGCTCAGGTCGAGCCTGGCAGCATTCCTTCAGCCTTTCATCACTCAGCAAACACAAAGACACCGGCCTAAGAGGTCCACCGACTGGAAACACACCAAAAATTAGCTTTTGCTCTCTTCCATTTCCCTTATATCTTATGAAGCAGCTCTGTTAGACATAAAGAGATCACTGTATGCTGCAGCAATAACCCATCTGCTGGGATGTGATGTGGAACAGAAACAGCGCCCTGAGGCTGACAGGCTTTTGACTCGGTGGTGTTTTTTAAAAGTGTGTAGTGTTTGAAATTAGTAACTGCCATGCATTGTGTGAAAAGCAGCCCTCCCAGCCTTGCCGTGCCATAGATTTAGACTAGTCGGAACAGGTTTGGGCAATCATTAACAACTTCTGTGGCCCAGTCTTCTGTGACGGCGAGTTTAAGCTGAAAACCCCAACCACAACAAGGGCTCTGCAGTGATACTCTGGAGAGGTGGTCTCCAGGTATGGACTTCCCCTTTCCTATTTACTGTTATGTTTCCAGGCATGACTATTCCTAGTTTTAATCTCAACTTTGCTGCCATGAAAACCATGAAACTAAACTTGAATGTGGAGGGGAAAAAGTGAAAATTGAGGCTTTAGCTTATACAAAATACTGAACTTATTGGCTCTCACTGTCATCAGGCTGGAAGTGAAAAAGGTTTTTATGGTAAGGTAAGAGTTTCGGGTCAATGTATTCCTTCATTTACCCTTAAGGTGAGGTCCCATTATTGAGGTTCTCTATATTTGGGTGTTTATCTCCATCTTACGAGGCAGCATTGGATTTCAATACTCTCTCTAATACTGCCTGGTAATGATGATGATAGTCATCTGTAGACTGCAACCACTAAGACTAACCCCTTTAGCTGATTCATGCTACCCAGTCTGGGCCCTGTGTTGGCTCAAATACTTGGCAGACATGTCTCTCAGGATCCATCTTACCTGACAGTGCTGGATTGTACGACTGTTGTTCTAACACTGTCTGGTAACGATGTTTCCTGGGGGACTCTTTGGACTCCGTTGTTTCCCTCCCAGAAATGTTTATGACTGTAAAAAGCTGCAAGGCGCCTTTGATGTTGTCATCAAGAGGTAATAATAAGTGGCGTTGGCTTTGTGCTCTGGAGTAATCAGACTGCTAAACATTCACTTTTTACTCTGAAGTTTATTCCAGTTTTTGTTTCACTCTCATTTGTCTTTGACGATGTCTCCGGCCGTATGCTGATCGGTCGTAAATAAGAGAAAAAGTGGCAGAGATGGTGTAAGGTGTTGCCAGACAGGGCTTAAGTTTGTAAGAAAATACAGAAATGCTTATGTCAAGGACTTTAACTTTGAAAGGAGATTATAACTAAAGGCCTATTGTTCGGTAATACTTCTAAAATTCTGCATATATTTGGTTTTATGTACTTCCCTGTCTTTTTTCTTTTGCGTTTATGGCAGCCTCACCACACCCAAGTTAAAGAATAGCAGTCAGTTGATGGTTCCACCGGTCCTGCAGGGCCTTATTTCCTTGTTCCCTCCCCCTGAGCAGCTCTGGTCTTTGTGTTGTGTGGCAGTGATTGGTCCAACAAGACGTACCTGCGTGGCACATCCTGAAACTGACACATGAGCACACCTGAGAATGCTTTGCTTGGAAACTAGGCAATGGACGCTTTGGCCTCCTCCCAGCTTTGTGAGCGTTTATCTATAAAGAGAGCATCAAATGATACCTTAGAAGAGTTTCTTTAAAACAGACAAAGTAGGAGTTCAGCGTTTTTACCACAAGTCAAAATTAAATGTGAATTTAATGGCTAAAGCTGTGAGAAAGATATGAGTAACAAAGGCAGATAATAAACATGGAGTGAGCAGAAACCTGGTGTTTGTTTAAGGAGGGAGAATAACCCCGCAAATACAGAGCCGCACCTTTATTTGCCCACCCAGCTCCATTATCCAAGCCACAGAAAGATGAAATCGCTTTTTTTCCACCCTGCAGTTGTCCCTTTTCTTTGAGTTTGCGTAATATTTGCGTTATAATGTCCTGATGTAGAAAGACTGGAACAGAAAGAGCTTAGCAAGCTTACTTTGCTTCTTTCCTGGGTCTGTTTATTCATGGCTTTCTCTGCATGCTCAGCCAGTTGAAAGGTAAAAATGAATCACAGTTCAGTGTATAGACTCAAATCTGCAGCTCAAAGAGGAAGTGCTCATTTTCTACCTGTTTCTGCCTCACTGTTCTGTTTCTGCCAGCTTTTTTCTTCCTCTTTTGCACAGGTGGAAGCTCAGACGTCGTCCTTCCAGCCTGTTGATAGGCGTCTTACCAGACATGGTTAGATGTAATAATTGGTGTCTAATACTGTCTGGTAATGCCGTCCATTAAATGGCATTGCCTTCTGCTCTCTTAACTTCCCCCTCTCTCGCTCTCATGCGGTTTATTGACAAAGGGCAGTCAGGGGAAGCACATCAACATATTTATAGAGGTAGCAGATGGGGCTAAATGATGATGACTATTGAACTATGATCCTTGCACTGGAAGAGTGATTGATTTTTGGAGGTTTCTTCCATGTGACTTGAGTCAAAGTTACACCACTGAGCAGCAGTCAAAAGAAACTTCTTTACACCTCAGATGAAAGTCGCTAGTGTTAGTCTCTAACTGGAATGTTAATGTGAATGCAATGTGAAAAATGTATGAAAGAAAGTGCAGAAAATTTTATCTGTTGAAAGATCTGCATTTTCCTCCTTCTGCAATGACTAAATTCCTTCTCAGGTTCTGGCCTTTCTCCAGGTACAGTAGAACAATGTGAACAGTTTTTGGACTTCATTATCTTGGACACATTCTGTACATAATGTAGCCCTGAAGTCTGTGATGTGTTGTGATGTAATATGAAGAAAATATATTCAATAAAAATGGGATCAAATTTGAGATGTCTCTTGCGCCTTTTTCCTTGAACACATCAGTGTTATTATTATCCTTAACTCTTCATTCACATCCTTGTTGCACTGGCTCTTTGCTGCAGCCTCCCTGGTCATTGTGAACTCTTTACTCAGCCAGACCGGAATGCCGAGTCTCAGTCAGGTGTGGATCAGGTTACCGCTGAACAGAGCTTCTTTTTAAATGCCTCAATTTACCCATGAGGTTCCCCCCTTCAGCTAAGCCCTCATTGTGTCCCAGACTATGGCGGCACACAGAAGAGCAGCTTGATAAACCGAGGAGCACAAGGCGTGTTTTCACTGCCAGGTCCTGGGTGACTTACAGCGCTGAGATCCATACATTTAAGTCTTTATGGTCCCTGGTTGCATTTTAGGACTTACACAGTTTCTTCGAGCGCTGCTCTCCCTATTTCTATTTCACACACACACACACATGCACGCACGCACGCACGCACGCACGCACACACACAGAGCCAATAGCAATGGTAGTGTTGTTTAATTAGGCTTGCTGGCTCAGCGGGTCAGTTGACTGGTTAAACGCAGCCCTGATTTTTATCACTTGGAACACAAACACAAAAACCATTAAGCCGTTTAGCATGAAAGGCTCCAGGCCACATTGATCAGCTGGAGAGGTTAATAGTCATCTATCTTTATAAGATAGAGCGCCAGAAAATGTGCAACTATCCCGAAATTGTCTCCTATTTTCATTTTTAAAAAAATGTTCAAGAAGATCTGATAATTTTTGGTGGAATTTAGCGATATTAGCATTGTTAACCTGTTTAAAGCTAGCAGACCAAAAGTAAATAAAGTAACAAAACAGAGTTTTTTTTACAGAAATGGACAGAAAAACAAACAGCTTCAGGAAAGTTGAAAAGAGTTAAATGCCTTTATCTGTGGTCTGCTGAAACTTCATGAACTCTGTGACTCATCACGGGCCATTAATAATGGTTTCTTTTAACAGCTTCTACAAACAGCAAGTCACATCCTGACTTAATTATTTATCCCTGACAAGCTATCACCAAAGTGTTAAATTTCACAAGACAGAGAATAAAAGAGACACACAACCACCACACAGAAAAACAAAGTTTGCAAAATCACTCCACCTGTGGGCATGAAGAGGGCTGTAAGTATATATTAGCTTTAATAGTTTACACTTGGTTGGTATTTTCTGGGAATATTTGAATGTGACACTTTTAATGATATCCGTATATTTCATAAAAACATATTTTCTTGAGTTACGCTCATTCTCTGTCAGAGTGCCATGGCTTACTGGGACACTTTGGGTTAGGGTTTTTAATAAGATTTGTGTATCTCCTCAAAATATTTTCATGTTTTAAAAAACGCCGTAAATATGGATCTGAAACCAAAACTGTTCCGTATGTTTTAGTTGTATTGTACAGTCTGATCCAGTATACTCAAAAAAGTGTAATAAACCAAAATAATTTGAAGTAAACAGTAATTTTGACTTGTGCTTACAGAGTGATCAGAACATGTGCACTTCTTAAATGTCTCTTTAGTGATATAAAGGACAAAACACACAATTTTGGAGTGTAAACACAAACAATAGGCATAAATTGTTGACTACATTACAAGAACTCAAAACTTTATTTTTGAGTTATTTAACTTTATTTTGAACTTATTTGTTGAGGAGATGTCTATATAAAATATTTTTTCAAGATTTACAAGCCTGCAATTACACCTGAAATGCTTCTTATTAGTAAAAAAATTAAATAAAATAGTGCAGGAAAAATGCACTATGGGCTGTTGCAATCAACTCTTTCTTCAAGAGACTTATCAAACTTTTTTAAAAATCTTTTAAATCTTTTTTTCCTGAGACTAAGTTTTGAGTGCCTGCATAGTGTAGACCCATTCTACTGAATCAGTATTAATAATTAGGTATTAACTTCATTGGATAGACACATATTTTTTAACCCAGACAGAACTGATCAAAATCAACCTCAAATGTTATCCATCCTTTTAACTTTCAAGTTGTAAATAAAAGCTACTTAATACCGCTTGATAAAAATGTTCTAAATATGTTCTTGTGGAAATAAACCTTTACCTTCCATTGATTTTAACCCTTAAGAATATCTCTTAAACTTCTGGGAGAGTTTTTGTTTCCTGCCAGTTTCAGATTTGAAAACGCTGCAAAGACAGACACTTAAAACTGAAAATAACTACTGTACAGTCAGAGGAGGTGACTGTTATTAGTTACTTCCCCCTCGGTGATGTCACATCCTTGAATCACATTCCTGACAGGCAGTGAGCCTGCAGAGGATTCCTGCGCCGGTCTGTGCATGCTTTAGTGCAGTCAGACCAGATTCCTGCAGTGCTGCTGCTGGCTCTGGAAGAGGAGGCAGGATTCACCTAGCTGAGTTTGCCACTGGGGCGGAACAGGAGTCGAACAGAGACTAAACGGCTATGACATACCCACAAGTATGCTGACGTACTACAATGAGTAGCAGTCACGCAGTGCAGGGAACTCCTTTAACAGTCATTTGTGGAGGAGTAGTTCCTGTTATTGATTATAGGGCAAAAGATTGGTCAGATTGAGGTTACATCATCTTCTTTCCCTTTACTGAGTTTTCCATGTTCTCTGTGTTACCAGTGGATAATCAATTTGAGCTTAGTTCACCTATGAGGCCAATGCTTCATTTAAGAACCAAGGTAGGAGAGTCCCAAAAGCTTCACCACATAAAAATCTAATTCATTTCACTACTTGACAGTAGTTTCATAAAAAAGCATGTGCATGAAAAGTACACCTAAAGATTTTTGTTCCAAATTCAGCCCCGAAGAACATGAAAAGAGAGTTTGCTCTCAAATCTCAAAAACAATCATACAACAGATTCACCACTCTAATTTCTAGAAAAGGTGTGGTGTAATATTATTTGGTCAAAAATGTCACCCAAACAGTCAAGAAAAATCTATTGCCATCATAGAATAATTTATTATCATATCAAAACTCATATTCTGTATTGCGATTTTAAGTTTATTGGGATTTCAGCCCTTTTCTTGGTGGGCTCTGTCACTTTTTAGTGTTATCCAAGGCACCAAATAATGAGTTAAGTATGATAAAAATTGCAGAAATACGAAATTTTATTTGACAAACCTAACATGGGACATCCTTGTGTTTCAAGCTGGCAAACTTATCTGTATTTAAAAAATAATTTAGAATGGATGAAATGAGGTTTTTTTTTTAACCTACCCATAAAATAGATGTTTGGTAGAAGTTCAACATTGTTGTTAAATTCAATTATATAGACCCTAATTGATTCCTTTGGGAAAGTTTCCTTAGGAAAATAAAAAAATGGTGAATGATGGACACACTCTTATAGATAAATAAGAGGTAAATGTCCAGTATCTCATTGAAAATGATCATTTTTCATAGGCCTTATTGACCTCCTATGTTGCTTATTTGCCAGAACTTGCTCTAACATAACCTCTCCTCTGACATTAAAGCAACTCATTTATGTTTACATATGAGTCAAATCGAAACACAGGCTTGTTTTTACAGGTGCTGTGAAAAGCACTGGGATGCCAACAGTATAAAAACAGGACTGGTTTAGCCACAGCATTTTAAAAAATTCCTTAAAAAAATGAAGGTTTTCTGGCTAAATTACTGGGTTGTTTCACAAAGCTTATCATATACCTACACAAAGTGTTCAGGTTTGATGATCAGCAATGGGCTTTAGCCTTTTTGTTGTTTTTCGTCTTCTGTGTTTTAATGTGACTTTTAAAGTGTTTAAAATAGATTATTATGGCAGATAATAAATATCAATTTAAGCAATTATAATTTTGTGATCAAAATGTATTTCTTTTCTTTGCAGTCAGGTGCTAATTGCTATTATTAGCTTGGTGTAGCTACCTAGCTTGTTAGCAAGCTCAACTAAAAACAGGAAGTTTACAAATTACTGAGGCTTTTTAACCACATAAAGAGTTGTAATTTTCATTAAACTTGGTTTTACGTGTTCATGTATGCTCTTAACAGAGGAGTTAGGTGACTGTATACCATGTAAGTTAGCACCTTAAGGCCTGCCTTACATTAGCCTAAGCTAGTAGCAACACAAAAACAGTTTAACAGAAGTGGATGAATTTGACTTGCTCTGTTGTCATGTGATAAGTGAATTTTTTTTAGAGAAATTAACAGGTGGTGATAACTTCAATCTCTAGAGTCTCATAAGGATAAAACAAACACTGAAACAGACATAATTTTATTAATCAGAAGACCACCTTAGGTGTTAACAATGTCACTCTGATATTCTTAACATTTGCCTGAACTGATTTTGAACAGGTCCGTCTGCTGTGCTGAGTGCCCTTTCTTCATAACAGCCTGTAAATTTCCATGACAGCTGAACGGACTCACCCCAGGTCACCTCAGACATACTCAGCAAACTCACCAAACAAAGAACAGGAATTTCAGAGCCCAAATGATTTCTAGTTAAACAAGAAAGGGGTTTATAATTAATATTTCTTTGTAGATGTGTGTAAACAGCATCATACGTGCGTCATCTGAAGTATGATTCTTTTTTTTTAAAATTTCTTTTGAAATTGGGGCACAGTGTGTTAGCTTTGCTGATTTTCCATTAGCCCAAGCCCAAGTATTCTGGCAGGTGTGTTTAAACTTTCAGCAGTCTAAATACTAGACTGTTTGTGAAGTAAATCAATCTGTAACAGGTTTTTTGAAAAGCAAGTAAAAAAGACACCAAGTATTACTTCCTGGTGTTAACAGTTTCGAATTCTCCTATATTAAGAAATGTGCTGGGAAAATGGGCTCGTGGAAGAGCACTGATCTCACACATTGACAGGTGTGGCAGAGACTTTACTTCATATCCTGACCTGGAGCATCTCTGCTCTCCCTTCAGCTTTCTCTACTCTGCTATTTTCTTGCATAAGTTTGATAAATGATGAGTCATTTTCCACTTGTACTCCAGCGGTATTCCTCCTGTGCCTTTTCATAGAGGGTGTAACCAACATAGTGAGTGAAGTTAATTCAGGAGGTTTCCATCTGTGTGATTCAGAGTCAGCAAATGGCGCCATGTTGTTTGCATTACAAGTAACCACATAAGCTCAGCTGGGTCAGACTGAGCCAAGTTTAGAAGCTGAATATGTTAACTGAAGACTAAACTAAGAGTATGACCCACAGAATTATTATAAAAAATAATTCTAAATAAAAAAATTTTTCTGCCCCAAAGTTATTGTTGATGACACGGAATGTCTGAGTATCTCTATCTGAAGATTTGTCAGGAACGTGAATGAGTGAGTGCAGACCCTGGGAACGAATGGCGCCCCCCCTCACTCCTACAGCCCCCTCTGCTTTACCGGTGTAATTCTATAAGGAAATCATGAATAGTGGGAGACAGAGAGACCCTATTGAGGCAAGCCTTTCTTTACATCGTAACTTAACTCCATCCCCTCCACTATAACACCTTGACAAGGAGAATCCTTCTAAATAATGGGTTGTGCAGGGACACCATTGCTGCAGGCTGCATCCCTGTAATTGTGAAGCACTTCCTGGTGCAGGAGGCAGTTGAGATGACATGGGAATGGGCGAGTCTCCAAAGATACACACATTTTATGGTGTCACCGCCCCGAGACAGAGAGCCACGCAAACAGACACGCTTCTCACCTAATGATGCATATTCATCACAGGTTTTTTAGAAATGAGTTTGCATTTATTTTCTCAGATGGGACATATTCATCTTTGTGAACAATGTTTCCTGTTTTCTTTCTCTCCCAGAATTGATATACTGTATGACCTTTCATACTGTGTTTTGGTAGACTAACAAGGAGACTTAAGCATTGGCATGAGTGCTAAAGAGGAGCACAATCGGCAGCACAAGGCAAAGGAAAGCTATGGAAAAGTGAAAAGTGTTGGAATTTTTTTGATCATCTTTTAGTTGACAGACATAATTCAAATAGAGAGAATATTTCAAACATGAAACAAAATAAGGGATCATATAGGGGGTTATTCAAACTTACATATATATTATATATATTCCCACTTACAGACATTAACTCATGTAAACAGCCTCTTGGCAGATGGTGAACCACGAGGTCGATGGGGCTGTAAAACAAGCCTGTTCTCTTTGTCCACCTACGCAGCACTTGCACAGTGTGTCTATCAGATGGCGGCTCTTTATCAAGGTGTGGCTGAAACTGGCTCCACACAAAGCTCTGTTAAACAGGAGTATAGTATCAGACCCACTTTTAATAACTGGGATGCTGTAGCTGAACTTGTGCCCCTGCCAAACAGGTCTCTGTCATTGCTGTTTTGCACTCAGACGTGTCAGTGGAAAATGTACAGCCAGGTGTGTAAATGACCGCAGTGACATCTTGTAAACTTAGTCATGTGTGAAATGTGTAACACTTATCAAAGGACGCGATGAAACTTCCAGTTAATGTTGTCAATGTTGAAGCAACATTAAACTGCATATCCATCAGCAGGGTTCATCAGGAAAATGTTTTTCTTTTGGCTGGTAGCCAAACAGAAGGAAAAACTTTGTCTCTTTAGCTCCTTTAAAAAAGTTAACAAAGTGATTTGAAAGACAAAGCAAAATGAAACAGATCATAAATTAGAGCATCATAGCAAATAAAAAGGCCAAAAATAAACCAGATGAAGAGCATTTTCGGGACAATATAGTTTCCTAGAAGAAGAAGAAATAGAAGAAAAAAGCAACAAAAGGGAAAAGAAAGTGACGGACTAGTTTTGCTACTCTAAAAATTAGCAGTGGTTGACCCGCCGCAGAAATCAAACTTTATCCGCACACTCTTCAAACATTTTCAAACTGTTTTCAGCATCACAAAAATAAAGAACATACTCTGCACACCACAAAGCTTTAGATAAACTGAGTTTCTAAAACTTGAAATGATCAGTGATGTTTCTCTATGATGTGAAAAAAAAGTAGTAAGTAAACCACCGATTGAGAGTTACAACAGTGTAATTTTTTAAGGCAGTAACTGCTGCGAGGGGGTGGGAACACTGAAAAAACAGCCTTTGTAACGATCAAATATTCACGGTGAGTGATAAATTTAACTAAAAAATACAGAAGAGGTTTTTTTTGTCAGTCAACACCACTTTCACATAATCAAGACAGAATCAGCGATGTTACCAGCGTTACCAGTTTGCCAACACTTCTTGACTGGCATAACAGTCTTAATACTCTGTAAGTAATCTAAAAATACTCTGAGGTGTGCATGCGTTAATAACACAGGTGTTAGGTCTGTGTATCACCATGCCTATGTGAGTGTAATTATATGGTTGCATGTATTCTGGGTACAGGTACCCACCCCTGTCAATTACCAGACTGTTGGGAGGAAGAGACGAGATTATGTGTAATTGCAAACTGTGCCTGGGCCTGGGTGTTTCCTCCTGAGTCAAATCACTGAGACACAAAGGTGATAAGAGGATTTGCAGTGAGAGCAGACAAATGTTATGTTGCTCAACTGCTTAGCAGCCACTGGATTTAACAGTAGACGATATGATTAATGATTATGTCTGCTATCACTTTAATGATTTCAAAGATGATATAGCTGCATGAACCAGACACCCCAGTCTCTGAGGGCTGTAGGTGGGTTCATGTACACAGGCCATCTTGAAGTCCAAGTTTTTTGTATTTAAAAAGTAGAATTTAGAGTTAAAACTATTTTTGTCACAGATAATCATCAATGTTTCCCTCTGCAGAGTCTGGAAATTGTCTTGTGTTAGAATTTGAGAATATAATTTCACCTTTTGTGTCAGGATATAATACCCAGGAACAGAGGCAAATCCATTTTGATTGACACCCTGCTCTTATGTTACCATAGGGTTCACACAACAGAGGCTTACAGACAATTAATATTGAATGAGGCTAAACTTAGAGGTGGGTGGATGTGGGATACATAATCTTGAGCAGTTAGTTTGTCTTGAGTTGCTGTTGGTGTAAGATTCAATCTACAAAGGGCAACTGTTGCTAAGGGTCCCATTACCTGAGTAACCGGTGACTGTTTACTATGGTTATGTGGGTTTTGTCTCCTGCAGTGTGACAGTTTGGCAGATTTCAGAGGGTGAAACCGCTTACAGACCACGTGATCCCTCCTCTGACAGGTTTGTCCCTCGGTCTGTAGGTTTGCAGTTTGTCCCGGTCTTGCTGGTGGGCTGCAAGGGTGAGCGCATACACCGCAGAGGGGGCATGAACAGGTTTCCATGGAGTCTGGCTGTCCATGAGTGTGATGTTGGAGTTGAAGGTAAAACCCTTTGCTTCTTAGTCCAGGACAGTATTAACAGTTTCAGTCTTTCCTTATGAAATACCACAGTAGTCTATCAGATGGCACAGATTACAATTGATATAAACAGGAAAAAGGTCTAGAGCTCACTCTTTGTGGCAGCAACCTCTAGAGGTCGAAATGCTCATTACATCAACAAAGATTTGTAAGAGCTTTAACTGTAATATTATATTTCATGTCATTTTTTTCTCTGTTGTTGGCTTTGGAGGAGTGGTGATGAGGACATTCAAACTAAATAAACTTTTTCAAGTAAAATGTTTTGAACTATGAGGGTATTAATCATACTATGAAAAAACAACCTATACTTTGGGATATAGGTGTGTTAATGTGTTGAAAAATAGTGTGCCAAAAATCACAATTTTCTTGAAGGGGTTTTACAATTTGTAAAGCAAAGAGCTATTAATTTTTTTATTTTTCCTCGTCTTCTTCTTATCATTTAAATACTGAGCTTTTCTTAGCCTTACTCTCAACTCTGAACAATTGCCACTCACCACTGCAGAGACCACCTGTATGAAACAGGTGTCTGTAAAACTTGTGGTACCTGTTTTATGTGTGAAACTCCAAACAAGGACCACAATGACTCCTTTTGTTTCAATCCATGCAGGTTCTATAATTGCAAAGCTCCCCTTTAGGCTCTAAAATGCATTTTCAAATCTGTGACATTTTTGAAATACATCTACAAGAAGAGCAGTAGAACCCTTTTACACCACAGAAAACTTTTGACATTTACTTGCCCAAGTATTTCTCTGTATAACTGAAAATCTTACAAATGATAAAATTATAAGTACTCATCCACAAGGACAATGAATGCCTGTCAAGATTTAATGACACCTGATCTTATAGTTGTTGAGAACTTACATAAATGTGGCAAAGCTGACCATTATTAAAGCCCCAATGTTAGCACAGATAATTAAGGTTCCTTTGAGGAGTTTGTGACTGGTTATGAAACAGACTTAAATCAACAGCAAAAACAAACAAGACTATTTGCAAAAAGACTGATGGTTTTTGATTGTAAATTTTGAAGCCTGCAACTGATTTTTAACCCATTTTCCGACAAATATTCACAATAAATGACACAATTGACTCTTAGGAAGCAGGGTTAGACTTTTAAGTCAGAAAACAAGACTTTAACAAACAAGACAAGACTAGCAAAGAGATGGAGGTATCACTTTGTCCAGAGGGGGTACCAAAACTGACACACATATAAAGTTCCTCATTGAAGCTTTTAAATGGCCTCAACTTATTTTTAGTTCCCTTTTATTTCCACTCACACGCCACCAAACCTTCTGTTTTCTGACTGCAGCTCCTCTGTGCACCAAAGACTGATCATCTTGTGTCCTATATTGAGTCATTTCTCGACTTCACCAATCATGTCGTCAGAGTTCTGGGTGGAGTCCTGCGGCGAAGCCCTGGCAGAGGAGACTGGACTGAAGAAGCAACAGGAGGAGGAGGAAGTGGAGGATCCCTGTGAGCAAAACCAACCTGCATATAACCCGAGGCAAGAAGAGCCGGAAGATGAGCGGCTTTTGTCACATGACTACAGCAAAATACAGGAAGTGACGTCAGAAGGTGGACTGGAGCAGAAACTAAGGTTTTCACACATGACTGTCAGCCAGGATACCAGGCAAAGAGGATCAGGTGTGTGGTGTATAAGTGTGACTTGTTTTGATGGATATTTTGATCCATCATAAAATCCTAAAATAATTGACTAGAACAGATTTATAAATGAAGAATAAAAATTATCCTCTTATAAGTATGACTCTATCCTTTCTTCATGTATGTAGCATTAAAGAGGATGTCTAAGTGTATGAATTACAGATTGCATGTGTGTTCCTGTGGTTCTCTGTGCTCTGTAGTCTCGAAAACAGGTACCTGCAGAGTGGAGCTAAACCTCCAGAGGTCCTTCCCGAGGGGTATCTCAACCTCCTCCTACCCAGGCAGGGAAAGGGAGCGGCGGGTTGAGGAGCCAAGAGGGCCGGGGCCTTTCTACTTCTTTGGAGGTTCAAATGGAGCCGACATGTCAGTAAAGAAATCTGAAAAAAGCACATGAGATATTTATCAATCTAGCTGATTATTTCATTGTTGTTGAAAGACTTTTTCACATTGTTTATATTCATTTTTTGCTCCCTGACTGATTAAAACCCAATTTTTGTGACCCCTGCTCTCTAGATCATTGAGTAATTAAAGCAGGAGTGTGGTTGATTTCCTCTGGGACTGTTTTTTTTTTTCTTTTCTTTTCTTTTTCAGAGTGAGCAGATACTGTGAAAGCAGAGGATGGAAGAGGATTCACAACAAGCACAGGGAGGATTTCAAACTCAAGTGGTGTGAAACCAAATCCACATCCAACTTCAGAGAAGGTTGAGTGAATAATAGATGACTTACCTATGAATCCAAATGCTGTATATCACAGTATTGTATATGATATAACACCTTCAGATAGGGGAGTTTCTAGAAAGAGTATGACTGATGCAACTCTAAATTAACTTTAAAACCTGCATGTTTTGTTCTTAGGTGAACAGCTAGTGTACCAGATCCCCAACAACAAAGTGCTCACCACGAAGATCGGCCTCCTCAGCAGCCTGCGGGAATATGAGCGAGTCAGCAGCAAAGTCAACCATGGTGGAGGATTGAGGTGAACTAGATAACTTGCTTTTATTAAACTTCTCCCAGTTTTATATACAGGTTGCTTTTATTGACATATGAAAGATATAACAGATGTTTTTTTACACAGTTTTTGTTGGAGTCACTAAGCAACTATCTGAAAGCGGCATGTAGGGTCAATAAAGGCCCAGCTTAGCAAATACTGATTGAAGATGTACCAGTTTGAGATATTTATATAACAAGAACCAGACAGCCTTCTCTTCAAACTACAGTATAAATTACACAAGCTTTTTATAAGTAACTTTTCAAATCAATACAAACTGTTAAACTAGTTAATTATTAATTGTGAACAAATATAGCTAAATAATGATAAAAATAAAAAAAAATTAAAACCTCTTTCTTTTAACTAATGTGTGTAATGGTCAAGGAAGAGAAATGAGTTACAAATACCAGACGGGTTTAAAGTTCAGGCAAACTTTAAAACCACAGAGTACAGCCTAATAGTTAGTCACCCTCCAAACTTCCTCATACTTGTTCCTGTTAGGTAATTTTCTTACATGGAGTCATGTTAAAACATTACAGACTGAAAGATACCTTGTGGAGTCTATGGTGCAATTCTGTTATGCATTAATGAATTAATCAATTTGACACATGAAAAACTCAAGTCTTTCTTTTGCAGTTGAGGTAGCTTTCACATGACACGATCAGTTACAGAAAAGAAAATTAAAATGAATGCTGAATACTTTTAAAAAACTCAATACAAGGTGTATTATGCTACTGTAAAATTGTAATGCATTCGCTTTTTACGTGAGAAAATAACAATACATGTAACATATATAATCTGTCATGTGGCTAAAAATGGATAAATTTGTCAAATTGTGGCAGGTTTACATCTATTGGCTGTGTCCTGTATACCAGTATAACATACAGAGCAGTGGCGGCTGCTGGTCTTTCAAGGAGGGGAAGCTAATTTTTCTGGCCTACATCATAATTGTGTTTGTTTATTTGTATGTAACAGAACAGAGTCGCCGAACACAACGGCAGTCGTTTTTAACAAAGACAAAAGTCGCTGAGGATCGGTAAAGAACAACGGAATGAATAACTTGGAAAATGCTCTGGTAGAAGTTTTATTCTTCAAGATCGCTGATTCGCTTGTTTAGCTGTCAATCTAAAAAAGGTTTCGCCTCGGACAGCTCATCCAATCGTGGATGCAGAAGCTCAGCGTCCGCGAGAAAGTTGGGACCGCCCTCTCGTCATAGAACTCCAGAGAAGCTGAGCGTCAGATGGGCGGGACAAAGCCCAGCATTTATCCAATGAGCGTCTAGTTTCGCTGCTGGAACAACCCACTTTGAGCTTCCACCTTGAAGTCAGCACACGCTGAGCGTCCGGCTGTGTGAAGCGCTGAGGCGCTGCGAGGATGAATGAGAACGGAGTTGCGCTGGTTACCTGTGATTATCAGCTTCTTGTCACAGTGTGATAAGAAGCTGATTTTGAACAAAAGATGAAGGCTTTCCAGCGCATATTTAGGTAATAAAATGTACACACAGCAGTACGTATTTCACCACTTTTTCTTTTTTTTGGGGGGGTGACATTTTAAGGGAAGCTGAGCTTCCCTTGCAGTCTTAGAGCAATCGCCACTGATACAGATATAGTTTAAATGTAAGGATCTCTTTATGACAGCAAACAATCCGTGGCGATAAATGTTGGGACTTTATATTCTGGATTTTGCCGTATGTCCCTAAAATAATTGTTTTTTGCTTACTCTGACTAAATATAGCTTATTCAGATTGTTCCTGGAGATCCTTTTTTTGTCTTAAATTTAACCAAATTTCACCAAAATGTCAACAATGCTTATATTTAAAATTTAAACACCAACACGAGAGTCACAGCGATAGAGTAAAACAATGAGATGAGGCGTAATGATGTGCCCTGTTTTGTTGTTTGTCATTGTAATGCTCTTTTCGACCACAAGAGCCATTAACTTTTCAAAGACAAAATAGTTCAGATGCCCCTCTTAACATACAATTATTGAGCCTGGAGATGAAGAGTGTAAAATACTAGTTAAATATGCAGTTTAGACTTATATAAAAAGGATTTAAAACATGATTTAAAAAAATGAAGGAATTTCAGAGAATTATGCCAGCAAAAATGTTTGTCTTACTTGTTCTCAAATGAAGAAAGCTCAAATAAACTTTGAATGTGGAGTTTAAGTTTTTCACTGGCCTGTTAGAGCCTCCTGTCGTTGGTTCATATCAGAATTGATATATTTCAAGTGATTTACATGTAACTCAGATATGTCTCTAATTTTTTTTGTGTGCATTTTAATATATTACACATTTTTATTTTGTGTTAAGTGCAGCTTTAAAGAGGTCTATATTTAGTATTTCCCCTCTGTTGACTTTTACCTCCCAGGAGGCTGAAAATGGAGGAGTTCATTCCCACTACTTTCCGTATGGATGTGAGGGAGGAGAGGGAGGCTTTCTTTGCCCAGCAGGAGGGTAAGACACCTGAACTCCTCAACCTGCACTTACCTCTGGCACATTAAGATCCTGATGCAACATCGATGCAACACTGGTTAGACTGGATCTGTGTTTATTCAGTGGGCTCCAGATCACAATAAGATCAGACAGACTCAGCCTGTCGTTCATCTGACAGTGTAAAGAAACAGCAGAGTTTGTACTGACCTGTGTTAGGCAACAGTTGCCATGGTGATAGTGTATTCAAACAGGTTGGGAACATTGGAAAATAATGCACACCACCTCCCATAAGGCTCTGATAAAATCACTAGGGGAACATGTTGTTACCATGGAGATGAGTCAGCAGAGGGCAGAGCTGAGACACAAACAGGAGGTTAAACTCTCCACTGGATCTGAATTTACTGGAGAATGATGACACTGACATGAGACAAATGACATTAGTGAATCTAAACTGGAGTAATAATCAGTTATTTTTATTTTGAGGACTACAGACTGTTGTCTTTATACATACAGACATGCTGAATAATGATGAGCTGTGCACAGATTATGGCAAACATGGTTATCATTGAGTAAACACAAGGAGACAGAGACAGCTGGTTGAGATTTCTGAGAGGCAGCTGACACCAAGTCAGTGCATTGACCCAAATGTAGTTTAGTTTCATCACTTTTTTTCATGTTTCCCCGAACTTTTTAGGTCTAAACAAACACTCATGTAACTTTGCATGTACATCGGGCTTGGTGAAGAAATTGATGGTTTAAAGATTTTGGATAGATGTATTTTTTTCATATTCAAAGTCCACCACCAATGGCAGAGGACCTCCTCTATACGTCAGACTGAAAGTCAGTGATTGACCTGATGGAATATGTATTATTTCTGTCAGGTGTGAGCAACAATGAGAGTCACATGTGGATCTGTAAGCCCACCGGTCTGAACCAGGGCAGAGGGATCTTTCTGCTGAAGAACCAGGAGGACGTCGCTGCTTTCAGACTGAAGCTGCAACATGAACAGGAACACCAAACCACCAGGAGGACACACCATCGCCAGCCTCAGGCTCGCATCGTCCAACAGTGGGCGATCTTACCCATGTTGTTTGTTTGCTTTATATGACATCATGACTTAACCATCATGTCTGCTTATTTCCATCAGTTACATCCAGAGGCCGCTGCTCCTGAGAGGTAAAAAGTTTGATGTCCGATCTTTTCTTCTGATCGCCTGCACTGCTCCTTATATGGTCTTCTTCAGCCATGGATATGTGCGGCTGACCTGTGACCTCTATGACCCGACCTCCAACAACCTCACTGCTCACCTGACCAATCAGGTTTGATCAGAATAGACATCACTCTTCTGTCATTGATGTGATTTATCATTGCGGTGCCGTCTCTCGGCCCCTAGTGTCTGCTTCATGTGTCTCTGGTCCCCCTGCTGTCTGTCTTCAGTACATGCAGAAGAAGAATCCTCTGTACAGACAGCTGAAGGAGGACACAGTCTGGTCTATGGAGAGCTTCAACACCTACGTCAATGACAGGTTTCAGGTTGCCAAGGGTCTGCCCAGGGACTGGGTGCTGGGTGTCTTTGCAGTGAGTGCTGCTGCTGTGTGTTATAGCTCTCAGGGACCAATTACCCTCACAGTGAGGGCCGTTGGTGCTTGCAGCTAATTGAGGTTGTGGTTTCGGCTCAGATGATCTCATTCTGTCTGACAATACATCATGTTATTACTAAAATGAACTATCATGTGAGCTGTTTGGGGGTTGTTTTAATCCACTGTACTTTACACTACAACAAACAGTTGAATAGACACATTTGAAACCTTGCCCTTATGGTTTACATCTGTTAGACTGAAACCTGCTGAATCCTGCTGTTAGAGCCACAAATACAATCATCTTAAATTCCTATAAATCACTGTTTTGTCTTTTTAATGGTATTTAGTGATGGGTGTAAGACACTGACTGTGAAAACAGCCTCATAATGTCTTCTAGGACTCCACCCAAAATTACAAGAGCGCAGTCCTCATCCTCTCTCTCGATGTAAAGCCTCAGCTATAAAGTCTGAAATTATAATTTTAGGCACTCTCATTGACAGCACACACAAACCCTTTTGTTATAGACGTCATATCTTTACACAAAACCTGCTGATCCATTTTCAGCTTCTACTGTATTGAGAGCTAAACATCAGAACATTTTACCCGTTACTTTTATTTTGCAATTACCTAATTTTTTTGGAAGTGCTTGTCTACTGGAATATCTCAGCGTTTTTAATTATTTTCTATTTTTTTATAACATTACTTCATTAATGTTTGCTAAGCTTTTCCCTGAAATTGGTCTTAATTTGTCTTTAAATTCACTTTCCAGTCATATTAAATACAACAGTGGGTACGATATAGTAAGAAGATGTTCGAATCCTCATCTATTTTATGAATTTTACTTAATGCATGGTCCTTTAAGTTAAAGTTTATGACATTTATATAGCACCTTCAAAGCAAAAACAAGTGATGCACTGAGATGCCTCACAAGAAAACAAACAGACATGGACATAAAGAAACATAGACAACAGGGCTGTTCAACATCCAGTTTTTTAATATCATAATTAATTAATGAATTTTAGAACTTATTTGCACTAAATCACATTTTTAGTTGTATTTTTAAACACATTTGTGACAGAATGACCTGATTTAATCGTATGCATGTAGAAAACCAGATAGAAAACCATTTGATCCGACATCTAAGAAATCCAACAACCCGTCCTCAGACTTCAACAGTGTCTGCTGTAGATTATTGCATCCTGAGCCTCATGAACAATGGATTTTTCTGACTCTTTGTCCGCCTTTCATCTTCATGTGTGCAGAAACGTATGCAACAGATCACGCTGCAGTGTTTCATTGCAGTCAAGTCCAAGTTAGATCGCCGCCTGGGCTTCTTTGACTTGATCGGCTGCGACTTCATGGTGGATGAAGATTTCAAGGTTGGTTGACACACGAATTATATAAAAGTTACTCTGTCCATACCCTATATTAGTATGCACATTTTCAGATGAACTGGATCTGATTGTGTTTCTCAAAGGTTTGGTTGTTGGAGATGAACTGTAACCCTGCTCTGCACACAAACTGTGATGTACTGAAGGAGGTCATACCCAGGACTGTTGTGGAGACACTGGGTGAGCTCATGTCATTACAAGCCTTCAGAGTACATATCTGCACAGTCATCAGGTATCATAGGGTAATTTTAGTGTCAAAAATTATTTATTTCTGATGCATGTTATAGACACAGTTTTTTTTATTAGACACAGTACTCTACTGACATGCTTGCTTGACTGGCTTTTGTGTGGTACTACCTAATATTTGTGTGTCCTGTGTATTGCCCCTTTATAATCTCTAGATTTAAGTCTGGAGATCTTCAACAAGTGTCGTCTCCGGCAGAAAATTCTCCCTTTGCAGAGTCAGAGGGAGTTTGTGTTGCTGTATAAGGGAGTTTTTCCTCCTGATTCAGAGCAGACCCACAGGAAGGTTTACACAAATAGTCCATTTAACCTGAAAAACCCCAGAAAGACTGCGCTCAGGAGATGTAAGTCAAGAGCCGAAGGAAAAACTGTGCCCTTGGCATCCTCTGATAGCTCTGGGAATGTTTCAGAGAGCCTGAAAGGAGAGAGGGGTTCAAAGTCCTCCATTGCTGCCTCCTCCTACCTCAGTCAGAGCCCTCTGTCTCTGCAGGTATCATCACTTTCAGCAGCAGCAGCAGCAGCAGCAGAAGATCAGAGACGGTAAACTTCAAGAAACCCAGGCCTCATGTCGAAATCAAGCTCAGCAAGTGCACTCTGCCTCATTGTTTTAAGACTGCGGGTGATCTAAAGCACTCAAACACTGAGGAGAAGATGAAGGTCATCATGTCGCTGCCAGAGTGAGGACGTTCACAACTATGAGTCCCAACACAACAATCCTACCATCCCATCCCCAGGCTGGATCTCCGTCTGTGTTTAGAGATGAACTAGAGAAGAAGAGTGTGGTGAAGAAAAGCTCAGAGAAGACACACAAAGGGATAATTTATAAAACTTGAGAGGAACTGAAGGGCTTTATGGGCAACCTTCTATAGGTTTCTGTCTCTCCGTCTGTTGAATGCTTACTCTGCTGTAAGTGATAATAAAGACGCCTCATATCACTTAAAACATGATTGCTTGTGTTGTTCTTAATCATTTGGTCAATTATTCTAAAAAGTATGGTCAAAAATCCTTCCATCTTTGATCAATCCCCTATTGATTGATCCATCTATGATTTATTCCATTATACATCCTTACATGTATCCATCTATCAATCCATCTAGGGCTGCACGATTAATCGATTTTAAATCGTATCGGATTATTGGACTAGGATGATGTTTGAAAAAATTAAAATCGTTAAATCAGTTTGCCTCTCTATCATGTCTCATCCCTCCAGGCCACCGTAGTCTTCCCCTTCTTGCGGGAGCACTCCCCAGTTCCCACACACACCAGTGTAAATAAAACATAGTGTTTGCAGAAGAAGGAGATAATTCTATGGCTAAATAGGGCAAAAGCAAGTCAGTGATGTGGAATTGGTACGACTTCGCAGTTTCAGACGAAGAGCAAACCACTCCCCGCTGCAAAGTCTGTCTGAAGGCGGTATCAACCCGTCCACACGGAAACTAATTCAGGAGTAAACGCAAAAGTTTTCTGTCGTATCGGCGTTTCATCCACATGGAAACAGAGTTTAGGGGCTCCGTACGTTTCAGGTGACTGTGAACAGTATTTTTTGAAAACAGGTACGAGAGTGCATAAATCCATAGAAGAGTACCCTGTGGATGCCTATCTGCATCTCTCTTGAGACGATGTTGTTACACACAGCGTAACTCTTTTATGGCGCCTGCGCCTGTCCGACCAAAACAACCTTTGTACTCATGCTCTGTACTCTTCTTCAGTCTTTTGTGCATTTCCTGGGCAGCGTTACAGCGCCATTCACTGGCTTGGCATATGCACTTCATTGTTTTCAGTGGTTTTGTTTTGAGAGATGGTAAAGAAAAACTTTTTATTAAAGTGAAGTTTGGTAAAGTTGTCACTAAATAAAAAATCAAAATCAGAAACCGAGTTTCCTGAGAAAAAAAAAAGGGGATTTTATTTTTGGCCAAAATCATGCAGCCCTACACCCATCCGTGTTTTTACTAATTGTCCATCATCCATTTCTCCATCCACCTTTATAACCATTTGTCTATTGATCCCTCACTCTTTTTTACCATGATCAATCCATCCATGTATCCACCCAGTCTTGAATCATCTATTCATTTTTCATCTATTTAAACATTCATCATTAATCAATTCTTCCATCATCCATCTATCATATGATTTTTTTACCAATCAATCCATTTTCCATTTACAGACTATCATCATACATCTATTCACTCATAAATCCACCTTTCATCCATTTATTTATCCATCCATCATCAGTTCATCATTCCCTCTTTCATATTATGATCCATTTATCTGTCATCCATGCATCTAGTATCCATCCATTCATTTATCCATCCATCTATCCTCCATACATCATCTGCATCCATTTGGCAACTCATTTGCATATTCCTCATATTCATGAATGTGTTCTTTTGAGGGGCCTCAGCTGCTTCCTGCAGTCCAAAGACATGCATGTTTGGTTTACTGGTCCCCCTGTCATCCATATGTGGGAATGTGAGTGAGTCCCTTTCATAGGCTGGCAATCTGACCAGGGTGTACCCCGCATCCTGTCCCTCCTGCAACCATTCATAGGAGAAGCTGTATAGGTAATGGATGCATGGATGAATGATATAGGATGATGTTAGGCCCATGATCTGCAAGCAAAGCACAGACATGACTGTGTCTGTAACTCAAACCTGGATGATCGACTTCAGAATCTGCGCTGCAGCTCTTGTGGTTTGTTGTTTTGACTGCAGCCTTTACCTCTCAGTTTCTTAACTAATAATTATCTGTCTTCCATCCATATCAGACTCTGTTGCATGTAAACACAGCAACAGGTTACAGTCCCATCTTTCCCAACAGCATGCTTGCTTCACTCGAAACGAGACTGAGGGCATTCAGAGAGTCTGAGGTTTCCACATGAGGAGGTATGATGCAGTTTCATTCCCACAGACAATGATGTTGTTTCTGAATGACTGCTATTTGTTTTTCATGCTGGGGCGTCTATGTGGGTGTTAAAAACCCAAAGTGAGGAAGCAGTCCTCTGCAGACAGGCAACCGACAGGAAGGAAGGAACTACATTGTGACTTGACTAAAACTTTTCTGCCACTTTTATCTTCAATTCCTCTTCAAAAGCTGCAGCACCTTTCAGTCTTAATGGAAACGAACACTATGCTGGCAAAAAGGGGGAACTAGAGCTTAGCACTACCCCCCTCCCTCCCTTCCTCTCTGTCTCCAGTGCACTATATCCTCTTTTGGACCCAACCTGCCCCCGGTTTTTGCGTTATCTCTTAGGTTTAGCGTGGCACACACAAGCAGTAGGATGATTGTCTGGGCAGATGGTGCTCAGTGTGTGAACTAGAGGCTGAGACGAGGCAGAGTGGGACTGAGACTCTGTCTATCATGGGATGCTGCAGTGTGACCCAGAGGCATACTGGAATAGACGAGGTGGGCCCGGATGAGATCGAGCTCCTGGAACTCTCTGGAGATAACTTGGGGTAAGAGAAGTTCACAATTAAAAAGAGAAAAAAGGAGAAAAATACTTAAAAAAAATAATGGTTTGCTGGGAAACAACCTAACAATGACAGTTCAGTTCATGTATTCTAAGATGACATATCAGAGTGGATGTTTAAGGATAACCTGAACTGAAATAAATATCAAATCGTGCTTCTCTTGCTTTCATTGCTAGTTTCAGAGTTAACTTAACCTTTTAGGTTCGTTTAAATGTGGTTTTGTGTATCAGCAACTTCTGCAGGAGGAAGCACCCACACTGTGCACTGGAGAGAGCACTTTAGCAGCTTGTCTTTCAACCTCTGTGGTTTACTTTTCATCACATTTTGAAGCTTAGACACAAAAGACATTACCCTTTTCAAAGTTCTCATTTCCAGGTTTTTGCACAGAAAACAGTGACATGATGAAACTTCTCCAAAACAACAGGTTTCCCTGTATGATTTCCGCTCTTTAGCACCCTGCAGAATATCAACGCAGGACAACTAATTGGCTCCTATTTACCAAACATGAACTTGGGGATTTGGTGATGCTGCACTGATGTGATTAGGAGATTACTATAAGACAATGGCTAATGCATAAGGGCTTTAATGCAGAGTCAGGGCGGGACAAATCCCCCGCTCATTTGAAGGCGGCAGGATTACAACAGGCTAATCACAACAATAGTTAACAGTCCTTTAGTGTGGCTCTCTTGAATGATTACTTCTTATGGTTGCAGGCCTGTTTCTAAACTGGTTCTAATGCAGATCCAAAAATAGATACACACTCAGTCAGACATGTATGATGTGGACACCTAGGCAGGAAATTACACACAACTGCTTATCATTCCTTTAGTTAATATCTATTCTTATTTTTAAGAAATGATGTAAGGCGCTCTTGTAAGGACATATAAGTCTCTCTTTCATAATTTTTGATTTTGAAACACATGCCTGAACACATGCAGATAAAGTTTCATGACAGTCTTATCCTGTTTGGTTTTGAACCCTGAGATGTATCACTCACTGTGAATATTTCACACTTTGTATCTTGAGTCTGCTGTATTTTAACTGTGTCATCTGACACCCTCCCATCACAGCAGTTACTGACACTTTATTACTCAACATAAATTGTCAGTAATGTAACTGGTGGTCTTGTTTGCTTGTGTCGGTCGGAAAGGACTATTGCCATCAAGTTCAGCCTGTTTTGTTATCAGTGGAAATCTCCCTGCACATGAGATGCACTTCTACGTGTGGTTAACTGCATGCTAACAGGCCACCAATACACGGCAGTTAAAAAGTGACTGTGAAACAGTACATTGCAAAGTTTAGAGAGATTTTAGCCCCACTAACCTTTCTCAGCACACTACTTCATAACAGAATTCTTTAAATCATCAGATATTTGTTTGTATGAAAGCAGACATACAGCATGGACCACCTTCATATACATGGTCCAGATCTCTGACACAATAATGACACTACAGAACCCATGCGGATCTAAAAGTTACAAGATGTGTTTTAAATGTAAAAATGTTTATTTTGTGTGCTCACAGGAGTGTACTTCTGTACTTTTGGGGACTTCAGAGGCTCTGCATGGTGTCTCTTGAACTGACACTTCTTGAATATTTTTGAGCTTGGTAAGGAGTTCCACATTTTAATCTCCCAAATAGGGAAGGGTCTTAGGTTATATGAGGGTTTATTAAAGTGTGCACAAACAGATTCATACAAACCAGAGGGAAGTTACAGAGCCAGGTTCTCTTAGAGGTCACCAATAGAGTCTGCTTATTCAAGCCTTTGTGCAAAAGTCCATACTAACAGATAAATGAAAACACGAGTCTTATTTAGTGTTTCCAGGTTAGGGTAATAACAGCTACGGCTGAGGAAATGAAATCACAGCAAAATCTGTTAAAGCGTGTTTTTTCAACCACACTAGAAGAAGATACATCAAGGCTGGCATGAGGTTTCTAGAATGGCAAATAAACTGCACATATGTGGTTTTTGGTAGTGAGACGACTCAAAGCACTTTTACATAACTTTGTGTGTTCACTGACTGTTATGCAAGGTTCCTGTTACAAAACTCATTGATATGCATTCATAAAATGCTGTCCTTTGGGTTCTGAGTCTTCTCCTAGGACACTTTGACACTAGATAGAAACGAAACCACCAAGCCTGCAACAGAAAGGCATCCATCTTTACTGCTGAACTACAGCTGCTCAGCTGCAGCATTCACCATGTGCTGTGGTCTCTCCTCTGTTCTTGGTGACACCTTCAGTGAGGGCTTAACCAGAGAGAGGATTGACTAATTATCTAAAGAGCGTATTGATTTCCACAATTTGTTTCCAATGGCAGTGAAGGGCATAGTGGCAGAGGCTTGTTCAGATGGGTCACAGGGGGGACTCTGGCCCCCAAAATCCCTGACTACTATAACCTAATTGGTAAAATTAACTGTTTTGAACTGCGTTGCAACAGGCTCCTTTTGTCAGAGCCTTCAGTGTTAAAGTCTTACTTTTAAGCCCTTAAACTGAATTATGCTAGAAAGATTGATGTGTTTGTGTCTCTTTGTTAAGGAAAACAATATGTACATAGAATACAAAAACACTACGGCAATTTAGTAACGGCTGAAGTTTGACGTTTTTATTTTATTTTTGTGTCACACATTTGATTATGTAGCCCACATGTACGAAAGAGGATTAGAGCCACATGACAACAAAAAAAATAATTACAGGGTCGAGATTAAAGTCGAAATTTCAAGATTAAAGTCAAAATGAATAAAGTTGAAATTTCGTGAATTCAATTGAAATTTTGAGATTAAAGTTGTTATGTTTCTCACTTACATAAACGGCGTTAAACAATTAGCTGAACCACGAGATACAGTTTCAGGACTTTTAATGTTCAAATGCGAATTCAGTTAACAGGTATCAATGCACTGACACATCACTCAACCAAACAGGTACACTGACAACTGTGCTAGCCAACAAAAAGTAGTGCTCTCCCAAAGCATACAAATACTGTGTTATTTCCTCAAATACATAACAAAAGTTGACGCAAATAAAGACAAAATTTCATGAATAAAGTCGTAATGTCTTTTGGCATACAAACACAGTGTGGTTACAAGTATTCAGACTCTGAAAAAACTGGGCTGAAGATTAAGATGTAGATGCAGGGTTATCAATGGTTACACCTGCGTGCTATACAGCGAGGCTAGTCAGACGCTGGGCTCATTTGTGATCCGCACCTTTTGGATCAATCAACTTGATCAGTTGTCTTATTGTTTCTTGCAATACAACATAGCCTTACTGTATAGCACGCAGGTGTAACCATCAATAACCCTGCATCTGCATCATAATCTTCAGCCCAGTCTTTTCAGAGTCTGAATACTTATGACCACACTGTGTTTGTGTGCTAAAAGGGCAAAGATTTCCTTGTTACTAAACCCAATTCTAAAGTACAGCTTTACAAACTCTTCTACAGAGGACATGTTGTCAAGTGACAAGCAACAGTGCTGTTGATTCATTGCCATTAATCTCAACATTACGAATTCATTCATGAAATTTCATCTTTATTTGCGTCGGCTTAAATCCCATAATTTTGACTTTAATCTCAAAATTCTTACTTAAATCTTGTTCCTGTAATTATTTTTGTTTTCTCTTCAAGTGGCCTTAATCCTCCTTCGTACACATGGGCTTACATGACACCATGAATTTATACAGTCCAGTCATGTTACAAGTCAATATCATAGAAAAGACTTATACATTGATACATAAACATACTCTAATTAAAGAGGATATTTTCACGAGTTCCACATCAAGTATTTGTAAAAAAATAAAAATAAAAAATGACGAATTTGACCGTGAGTAAAATTAGAAAGATGAAACACTACTTGGATAATGTATTGGACTTCTTTGTCCACAGAGGGCGCCATTATTGACACAAACTGAAAGTTACTCACAGGCGCTCTGCACAGTATTAAATTGTGTCTGTGCACAGCTTTGCCACCCTTGCTTACGTCAGTGCCCCTGGTAGGGCCTCGCCAGTCCAAAGTCTGGACATGGTCCTGCATACAAGGTTACAGGGTTGGATCAAATAACACTTTAAAGTAAAGAATAAGCAAGATCAGAAGTATGGCTAAGACAGAACCCTACATTTTGTGGATGGCAAAATAAGAGCTAAGCTAACTGGATACCATGCACAAACCCGCCTTTTCTATATTCTGTATGTTTCTTTAAAAGTAATTTTTTGCAAGACACCTCATTGTACATACAGCAATGCATCGAACCCAAACCTACATTAGTATTTACGTTTAAAGACTTATTTGTGAAATTTGGCAAAAGCTGTCTTTTACAAAGGAACCTATTCTCTGCTGTACTGTAGTGATGGGTCAGGAGGTGGATCTGTCTGCTCTGACTGCTGTAATCTGATTATGTCTGGCTGCTTCTTGGGTGCAAGAAGGATAAAGACGAGTCATTTACTTTTTTTTTTTTTTTTAAATCAAAGTGACTCACCGCCAACAGTCTCTTTAAAGTGCACTTATAGAAAACATATACAAATGGGAGCTCACATTTAGGGCAGTTCAGAATCTCCAGCCCTACTCAAATGTGCTTAAAGTGCAGAAACCACTCCTTAGAGCTGACCTTTTAGTAGTTTGCAAACAGGCTCACAGAAACTGAACTTGTGCTCCTGCTACAATGAGGCCACGAAGCTAACCACTGCACCACATCTCCGCCAGCACTGACTTCTGCTGCTGCTGCTGCTGCTACGTGACAAAGATGTGCAATAAAATGTGTGATCACACGTGTTTGTTTAGGGTGTGGAGTCTTGGAGAAACACGGCTTCAGCTGTCAATGCGGAGCAGCAGAGATGAGCAGCATCTGCCGCCACCCCCACCTCCACCCCCACCACAACGTCCACCACCCCGCTACCCCTCAATGCGACACCTGGAGGTTAGGGTGTGTGTGTGTAACTGTGATCAACTTTAGTCTTAACTTTTCACAGCAGTCTCAGGCATGTTTCTCACGATGGACATTTTTAACACTTTTGATGCTCAGGCACAGTGTGTCAAGATGCGCCTCACATGAACACAGTTTCCACACTGTTATTTATGTTTTTTTGAGGTCACACACACACACACACACACACACACACACACACACACACACACACACACACACACACACACACACATACACACACACACACGAACTAAGGGAATTTTCCATTACAAAACTGAGAGATTCTGCTGCTTTTCTGTGTGATTCAAACACTTCTGTGTTTCCACTGAAATGATAAATCATCTAAATATAAAGCACCAAAAACTCTAAGGAACCACACTACACAGTTCCCTCATGCTGATGTTTGCAGAGGAAAAGACACTTGTGTTATTACTTAGTTATCAAAAATCCCCTGGATTGTGCAACAATGTGCACTATAGTAGAGGCCTTGAATAGACTCCAGTCTGGTACTCAGTGCATGATTTATCACATGGCTGTATAAATATTTGATCACACTCAGCATGTGTAAAAAATCTTACTATAGTGTTCACTTTTGTACAAATAACAGCAGCATAAGGTCTGTTTAGAGCAGGGGTGGGCAATCATGTGCCATGGAGGGCAGAGAGGCTGCAGGTTTTCTTTCCAACCCAAAACTCCACCAGGTGATTTCACTGATTACCTTACCTCCAAGCAGAGAGCAGAGACTAATCAGTGAAACCACTTGGTGGAGTTTTGGGTTGGAGAGAAAACCTGCAGCCTCTCGGCCCTCCATGGCACATGATTGCCCACCCCTGGTTTAGAGTATGCTTTATGTTTAGTACGTGTAAACTAAATGGACATCATGAAATCACTTTGTACTGATACAGTTTTGTGTCTGTAGGTGGTGCTGTGGGGCAGGACTAGAGAGGACCTGCACAACAGGATTTACTCCCAGCAGCCAATCAGGGACTGGGAGGGCCAACCTCCTCATATGTATGGAGAGATCATCTACTCTTCTCCTGTGTCTCTCTACAACAGATACACTCAGGTAACATCACACTTCACATGGTAATCACATGGGAACTCTCAGTGCATGTTGGTAATAATTATTTTACTTTGAGGACACCGTTTAATGTAACCAGACACAGAAGTTATGACCAAACAGACTGTGATTTAATTTAAGAGTCCACAGACTAATAATGAGCTGTGAGTGCTGCGTCATGGTTGTTTGGTTGGTGTAAAATCTTGGTAATTTTTCTTCTACATCAGGAAACCAGTGAACACTTCCTGGTCTTGTTCTCCTTCCACCTGCTGATCCTCTCCCTGGACCACTCCAGACAGGACTTTATATATGAGGTAGTTTTTTTTTTTTTAACTCTGAAAAGGCAAATGTTAGTCTGCTAAAGTTTGACATGCAGCAGCCTCGCATGCATGTGGCATGAATACCGATTGGGAATATCTGAGTAGAAACTGTTCAAAGAAGTGTTGGGTGCTGAGGGTGCTGCAGCATCCCACTAATGTAAAAAGTTGACTTGCACAGAATTGGCACATTTTTCTTTGTTTAGCTTGCGTACTCAATATAAATGCTTATAAATTTTCAAATTTAATGCATGAACCCAAAATTTCATGCAACAAAAGAATGACATGATCAAATACTCTGACTCTCTCGCAGTGCACCCTGAGCGACTTCCAGCATCCGTGGCAGCTGCAGCATCTTTCTTTCAAACTTGTCAAGCAATCATTCAGTCTTTATTTATAAAGCACTTTTCACACACAACCATGTATCTACCCCAACCCAACCCCTCATTCCCAAACACAGAATGAAATTTAAGAAATAATAAATAAAATGAAATAAAAACAACAGTAACAGATAATAAAATAAGAGCTAAATAAAAGACAATCCAAATTTAGAAAGAGATAAACACTTGAACAAAGTTAATAATATACAATTTTACACTTTTCCCCCTCTTCTCTTGCAGGGCATCCTTCCCCTCTCCGGACTGTCCTTACAACCTGTCTCCATGGACTCTGACACACCACATTCACCTCACATGTTTGAGATCAGCAGTAAGTCAAGAAAAATGATTCAGTCCATCAAAAACATGGTGACACAGCGCACAGATGAGATATACTTTTTCTTTGATTCAGGTCCAATGGTGGACTCAAAAGTCTTCATATGTTCAGGAGCTGCAGACTTACAGAAATGGATGCAACACATAGAAGACAGAAAATATAAGTCAATGACACAGCCCATGAGTCCCTCACATTGTGCACTCTCATATCTGGTAAGAAATAACTGCTGCACATCTATGCATGAAGACAAAATTGTCGTTAAGTTTTAATGACTTTAATGCATTTCTCCTGTAGCTGCCGTGTGATGAGCACTGGAAAAGAGAGGAGCTGAAAAAGTTCTTACTACAGGCTCCCATATGGCAGTGGGAGGGCTCACCCATACAGCACATGGGTCAGCCTGGCTGTATATCTTTGGTGCACATCATCAACACACAGAGACAGGTAAGACACTCCCTCGCTGAAGGATTGCACAGGAAATCCAGTTTCAGTTGTTACCTCAGAGTTAAAAATAAGAAGTATGAGCAACTCTTTATATGAAGCCACTCCTTTTTAATGCATCACACATCAGTAATAAAACCTTATAAATGCAGAGTTATTATAATGCTTTGAATGTACAATTTAAGATACATTTGATCCAAATCTGTGTATATTTCTGCTTTTTGAGAGCCTGCCTTATCACTATACCTGTACTTTATTTGAAATTATGATGTGTTATGATTTCAGAATTCAAAGGACACTGGTGTTAGTTTTTCTGTTATGCTTTAGAAATCATACTTTTACAGTTGTATTGTGTTCGCAGCTTATAACACTTCATACAAAGTACTAGGAGTTATTATAAAGGTTTATAAAAGATTAAAATGACTGTTTCAGAGTCTCATAGATGCATCCATAAAGCTTTATAAATAAAGTTTGCTTTCTTGGAGTAAAAATATTGATGCACTTTGATTATGAAAAGTTTTTTTATGATAGAATAATAAGATCCTGATAAATAGTCATTTGATGCTTGAAATCTCTGATATCAAGAGCCTCAGGATCACACCTTAATGTAAACACACATCAGTGTCTATGTTTGCTTTAAAAGATTTCTACCATTTAAATTAATCCAAGTATATGTATAATTACAAAATAAACAAGATCTAAAATGCTTATTTGCTGAGTTTAGTGCCCTCAGATTTAAATACATTCAGGAGGCACAGGCCTATTATGAGCACAGTGTTACCATTGGAATAATAAAATCCAAGAAGTTATTCAGAGGATTAATTTTAGCTGCAGCTTGAAAGTGTTTCTGAAACAATGCCAAATAATATAATGACGGATAAATTGAACATGAGGGATGTGTTCTGGGCAGAGATAGTAAAACTTTCAAGGAGACAGAGACGTTGAAGTTCTGTTTCACTACTGATCAAAGTTAGGAAGTTTGCCCATCAATGACAAAGTGACATAGCTCCTCTGGTGGCCGTGGAATAGGAACATGAGGGACCTGTAGACTGTGTAAAACATGGACAGTTTTGGGTTTCTCAAGAGGCATTGTGAAACTTTCAGTCAGTCTGAACACAGACAAACAGGTGAGACTGAAACAGACTTTTAACCCTCAGGCACACAGCTACAACGAGTCCACCTGTCTTCACCTCATCAGGCAAATTTATGGCCACGCATTTGTTTTGTCTCAGCAATTAGCCCTTTACAAATCAGGACAACAAAACTATAACGCTCCAGCTGTAAGTTGGATAGGGCTATTATTTGTGTTATGTCATATGTTTTATGTCAACTGTCACCAGTTTTTTACTAAATGTTATGATCTGAGGAGAAGAGCCAACACTAAATTAAGTGTCATTGTTGGCTTTGTGTTTGCAGGGACTCCAGGAAAGGCTGATGGTTCTCTTCCCTCAAGAAGTGCTGCTACTGTCAGTCGACAACAAGCGTCTAAATATCAGATATGAGGTGGTGTAAAATGACTCTATGGAAAAATATAGAGTAACTTCTTTACACAGCACTTGTTATCTGGATACATGACCTGTAGCGTGGGAGGAACATTTTGTAACTCACACCTGCTGCATTCATCATGATTCAATGCTTCTCAGTCTGCAGCTTAAATCAGCTACTGTGGTTTAAAGTCACTGATGGAATGTGGTTTTGTAGACTGGCATTTCTAGCCCTGAGTTTGGCATTTTTGGTTTGTTAGAATTCTCCTTTTTGGGAGCGAATAGTTCTAAGCCGGTGTTAGCATTAGCATCCTCATCATTGTGCATAGATAACTGAAGGTAATTGGTTATGAATATAGATGCTTCTCATGGCAGGCAGTGTTTGAGGTTGGGGTTCGGTCTGGTTTAATGCCTGGAAATTGAAAAAGGGGTTAAACAGCAGCATTCATACTTTCTTCCCTGCAAAGATATCCAGTGGACTTGGTCTTCATTAAGGGGTCAAGTAAAACAGCGTGGAAGTTGTGGCTGATACACTGTTAAGAAGTGTCATATAACTTCACTTAAAAAAATTGAACTATTCCTTTAAAAGACTTGAAAGCAGCCATTGAATCAACAAACTCATAAGGTAACTGGGGGAACAAGCAACAGTATGAAGAAAGACAGGTAAAGGGAGGATCCTTTTCTTATTGATTTCAATACATTTGTTCTATTTGGAAAAACAATTCAGTCGCCCCCTGCTGGATGTGCACACAACTACAACTCTTCCACATAGTTCAAAGGTCGTCCTCTTTTGTTTTTACAGTCTACAGTAGTTTTTTTTTTTTTTTTTTCAATAAGGTGTAACATATTAAGATTAATCTACTTCATACTTTAAATTATTCTTCTGTTTCTCCTCTAACAGGGTCGATTACCTCGATACAGCGTCAAAGCTGTGGAGAGGTCAGCTCTGCCGGGAAGGCTGGAGTTTGAGCTCACAGGTGAACTTTACTAATAACATCACTGCTTTCCTAGATGAGTGTGACTCTAGATTAGAGTAAAAATAAGTCATGAATAAATAAACAAATGAGGGAAACAGTCCTTTCATATTAGCTCTGCTGTGTTTCAGGTGAGCTGGTGGAGCCTCTGCTTGTCTCATGTACCTGTCAGGAGGATTACTGGAACTGGATCTTTCAGTTACAGCAGGTAGAACTTGATATTTGATCTTTCTAATGTTTTTGAGCTATTGGGCTAAAGGTACTGTGGGGGACTTTTTTAACTTTTTGAGAACCTGAAACTGATACTAATGCCTTTGACAATATTTGAAACCTCTCTATGACTTTTTTTTTAAGAAGACAAAAATGTTGTCTATAAATATTCATGTTTACCGCAGCACTGTCTGATACTTCGAACTTCATCTCATCAGGATTTTGTCTTTGACTTACAGCCTGACAGAAACAGCCACCCTACAGTGAGTCCTCCTGCACCTCCCATCAAACCAAAGCTGCAAAGGAGCAGGAAGGAGTCTCAGGAGCCGATCGTCACAGACCAATGTCACATCAATGGACGCAGCTGACTCCTTACATTCAGGAACGCGTCAAAAGTCACTGTAAATATTAATCTTGAAGTGTAGATAGTGTGTAAATATTGGTTTTATGGCTAATTTTGCAGCAGTGTGAAAAGAGTTTGAGATTTGCTCACTCTGGTTTTGATACTGTCAACTCCTGTCGCCACTCTAAGGGACGGAGCGATACAAACTGAAACATGTGAATCCAGACCACAGCTGAAGAAATAATGATTTCAAGACGATAGAGTTGTAAATGTTACTACAGAAAAAAAAAATAAAGATAAAAACTACAGAAATCAAATGTTTGATTTGTTTAAATTAAGACTCATTTTTGACACACAGGGTGAAATGAAGGTATTTATTTCAATGGCTAAACATTTACAGTAGTGTGCACACATCCAGTGTAAAACAGTCTTTATACTCAGCTGTATTAGAAATGAATCAAACTAAAAAGTTAAAGGATGTTAAAATACTTGTCAGATCTTTGTTCATATAAATTACATCAACCATTTCTACTCTTTATACATGAAGCCAATCTACAGTAAAGAACATTTACACAAGAGTCTCCCTAAAGAACAACCAGCTAGAGGAGTATAAATACACATGCTGCCACAGCAACCACTTCAATTACAGCTAAAAACGCAGAAATCAAGAAATAACACAGGAGTGATAAACATCTCATGTGCTGCTGGAAGAATTCATCTCTGAATATGGATTATAGTGGTTCAGTAAAAACAGGCCTGAGCTCAGTCACACTGAGCTTTAAGTCTTTTGGGTACAGTAAATTATTAAAATTTAAAAAAGGTGTGGATGAAGTTGGCCTTAACGTGAGTCAGTGCTATTATCTAAAAAATGTCCAGCTTTATCCAGTTCTAGATTAGTAAAGTAAAGCTAGACTTAAATGTTTACCACACAGGCGGTCACTGTAAATGTGTCCAAAGGTGAATTTGTTTGAGCTCTAGTTTCTTAGTTTTAAGGCACAGGGCTGATGTTAATTTGTGCTTTTTTTAGTGCCAACAAATGCCATGAAGAGAGGCCGGAAGAAAAAGTCTACAACCCGATTTTGCACAACTATAGACGGTCAACTCTGAGGATCAGAGTTAATTTGGATAATAAAGGATAATTTGATTTTTTGACTCATCCAACTTCCAAACATGTTTTATATGTGCAAATACAGTTTAATATTGGTAAATTCAAAGAAGAGATGGATGCATGGACGGATATACAGACAGTTTGGATTAACAAGATGCACAAGGGTGAAAGATGGCAGCTTCTGTGGTAGGGGACTCACTCCTACTTTAAGTATACTCTAATTCAAACATACTATAGCATATAATACAGACTAATGCTAATTTACTCACTGGAGGTCAGCTGAATCCTGAACACTTTTCTTCCTTCTCGCTTCATTGATACTAAAGACTTAAAAACATATCAAAAGAGCAATCTCTACCCTAACCTAAAACAGTTGGGCTGTAGTTTTAAGCAAATATTTTGCTGTTTGCTTGAGTGCATTAGTTGGGGACTCTTCTCAGTTTTGCACTGATACAAATGTGGAGGAATAATGAATATTAAAAACAGTTGTATGGACTATATAGGTTTGATCAAATGAAAACAATAGCTTTATTTGTTTTTAAAGTTCAAGGCACTGAAGAATAAAAAGTGGACACTCTAGTTAGTATCTGATCGTGTTTGACTTTTCTCTTTGACTTTGTTGACTGTTCAAACCATAGACTGTATATACTATGGACAAATTGGTTTTGCCTACCGCCTGTATACGGATTTGAAGCCAAAAAGCTCTCTATATTTCCGGGATTTTTCTTCATTTCCTGAAAGCAGCCAGTCGCTGAAAGTCACTGTGATGACGCTCGGCTCAAACAGCGTATCCCTCGGGTGAGCTACGCAATCCCTGAACGCCCATAGGCTGTACCAGGTGTCAATCATAGAAAACATGAACCCCCTGATAACTTTTAAAAATGGAGCTGTACAGAAAAAAAAGGACTTGAGCACAAACCAGTCTTACAATAACTATAAGTCAACATCACAAGCAGGGGGGAGAAAAATGTATATTCTGTGTAATAAATTTCTAAAGTTTGTCCACAGCTCCATAAACTTTGCTGGCGGAGGCAGGATTTATGACCTGTACTGCAGCCCATCAACAGAGGGTGCTGTTCTCACAGTGGCTTCACCCAGCGAGGAGGCAGACTCTGTCCATTCTATATACAGTCTATGGTTCAAACATTGCAAACAGAGAGCCCAGGTCTTTAATCATGTTTGGTTTCTTGAAATTCAAACTAAGTAATGCTTTCATGAAACAGTAAATGCATCAGTCATTTAAAAACTTTACCAAGGACAGTTTTAAAAAGACTGTTTCTGTTGTCAATGTTGACTCCACAGCTGTAGTGTCAAGAATTTAAAACTACTATAAAGAAACAGTCAACCTTTATGCTGATGGGCTTGATGGTTTGCTTTTTTAGTGCATAAGCGGACTAAAGTTAGTTAACAGTTCATTGACAACCTGTATCTTTTAACATCTTTTAGAGGTCATCTAATGTGCTTATGTGCAAAAAAACACATCAGTGCTGGTGAAATTGTTGATCTTCTATCTGAGCGAATAAAATGAGCTCTTACTGTTCAAAAGCAGGAAAAATAATTGGCCTTTGATGTGCAGCTGAGCAGCAGGATCCGCCTGCAGCTCTTTTCTGATGTTGTGACATGACATGAATAAATCTGCTGTGTATAGTAAGACAATCTTTTAAGAAGAAACAACAGAGGGAATTAAAGTGACAGTCTCTGAGTTAGCCGCATATGATGAGCACAAATCTACCTTTGGACAAGTTTACTTTTAAGACCTGTGCATGTGCAGGTATACCACAGAAAAAAGGTGTTTTCAGAAGCATGCATTAACGAGTTGCTCCTTTATGTACTGATGTATTTTAGGTTTTAGGTCCCACTGAGTTTAAAAACCTTCTCTGAGAAGGATCTGGTCAAAGCAGCAGCTGTACTAAATACCAACTCCTGAAAAGTTTGTTATATTTTGGAGGCAGAATAGAGAGTTCCAGTGTGACTTTTTGTCATTAGACTGTTATGCTACGTTCCAGTTGTACTCGGAAGTTAAGATTTCCGAGCTCCCAAATTAAGCAAGTGGTATGTGTTGTACTGCCCAACGTCTGACTGTGGACACGGTGCTATGGTGAACTGGTATAGCTAACAACAACAACTGCTGACAACAGCGAACAACAGTTGGCAACGGCTAACAGTAGGCATCCATCTTGGTTTTCCAACTTGTTTACTGGAACGCCATCAACTCGGGTGTAATGTCATTCCCAGCTCCGACATCCAACTTCTGAGATAACTGGAACACAGCATAAGGCTGACGGTGCAAAGGAGCTTTAAAAGATGCACAACTAGCATGCTTAAGGAAAATGCTGCTACACCATTTAGCATCCATGCCAGAACTAAACAAACAGTAGATCCCACATCCATGAGAAATTAAACAATCATCCAGGAGCTTCATACCTGCAACTAAGTGACTGAAATGCACCTTTGACATACATATATATGTATGTTCAGTCCTCTCCCTCCAGTTTCTGTGTGACACATTTGACACGGTTATTTTCTCTGAGGTTGCGGAGGCGCGCGCTGCGACTTGTGATTTCCTCCACGTAGGTTTTGGGGAACCAGCCCCGCTCCCCGTCAGACAGCCTGATACCCTCCACCCAGCCTGGACAAAGACAACAAACACTCTTTAGATATTAAAAAACATAAAAAAAATCTTTACATGGGTTACATTTATCTGGGAGCATGTTTAGGTTCAATAAAAACAGAGACTTGATCCACATTCTTACCGTCACTTGTGATGGTCTTAGCGTGAAGGATGTCGGCCTTCTCCAGTGTTAACTCATCGTGCTCCTGTGCTTGGTAGCTTTTGATGCACTGAACTTGGGTGATGTCTAGGCAGAAAAAAAGAGAGATGAATGAGAGGACTGAAAGGTTTGAACTGATTACAGTCGTACCTCGAGCCCTCCACTGACCATCATTCTCACTGGCTTGCTCGATGTCCTCCAGTGGATTAGATGGAAACATGGCCGTGATCCATCTCTGCTTCCCGCTCCTTGATGCACACACACAAAAATGTCAGTCATCATAAAGTTCAAGATTTTTTTTTTTCATTGTTGTCACTTTACTGTGTTGTTACTCACTCGGTGTGAGACTTAAGCAGGATCTGATGTTTGAGCTGCTGGCCTTCACACAGCTGCAGGTGGAAGATAAAGCCTGAGATGCCCTGCAGCTTCAGACTGAGATCCTTCACTTTCAGCTCTCCGATCTTGGCGTGCACAAACACCATGAACTTCCATGTGCTGCAAAAATGATGTTGACGGACTATTACTGTAAGATCACCACTAGGCACTGCTGTACTACAATAACACTGGAAATTTAAGCAAAATCTTCCTCTAGTATCAGACACTCTTCTATACCAGACCCATTTCTGTGTGATAACCTGAAAATTTGAAGCCAGATTCAGCTGGTGCTTTGCCTGGTTTACTTAAGATATTACTACACTCAACACTGAAATAGTACAATTAAAGATTTCTTGTACAAATACAACAATGAGTTAATAAAACAGCCTTTGCTGTTAGGTGGATATTTTTAGGACAGAGCCAGGCTGAATGAACTTGGCTCAAGCCAAACTAAGCTAAGCACTTCAAACTGGCCTTTATAACTTGAGTCAAAAGGTGGCATGTCTTATTTAACCAAGGAGCTACCATCATTCTAACATCACTATGAAATATAATTGTCCAACATTTGACAGTTCCCACTGAGCCTTAGATGTCTATTAGACGTCTATTCTTAGTTTAGACAGAAATTTGCCCGTCAATAATTGGTCTATATTTTAGCCCGGATTTAGACAATAGAATTTAATCCATTAATTATTAAATATTAAATAAAAAATAACTGTAAGTTGTATAAATGATGGCCAAATGCTGGATTAAAACATTTTTAACAGTCATTGATCAACGTACAGTGTAGTTTAGTCTATTAGACAGCTAGTCTAAGTTTATACAGCTAAAAAAACTGCATTTTTAGACCAGTGGTAGACCGATTTTAGCCCAGACGTCTAAGACCCATTAGACATCCATGAAACGTCTTTTAGACCGAAAAATGCTCAGTGTGTTTTCTTTGTTTTGCAGGTATTGGTCCGATGTATGAATAAATCAATGATCAGGCATTGTCACTATTTTAACAATGCGTTGCTCTGCAGGGACAATGTTAAAAAGACCAGGGCGTCTGAAAGGGGAGACTGATCGGCTAAATTTAGGAAAGTCTGAGAATAGCAGAGACTGCACAAACTCAAAGTCTCTCTCAGATTGTTTTTTTTCTCCCTACTTAAAGTGTTCTCAGTGGTCTTTTAATTTTGATTATGAAGTTTATAGCCAAAATCGCGTTACCTGTTTCATTTTCAAGGGCTTTTCTACTCATTAGTGGAGCTAATGAGCTAATGAGCATGACTCCGCCTCTTAGTCGTGGGCAGAGACAGCACTGCTCTGCACATCTAACATTGCTGATGGAGTAGAAGTGCCAGATAACATAGGAGCTGTTTAGTTCTCAAACAGTAATGTCTTTAGGCACATGGTGAAAGTTAATATCATAATTAGCTTTCTTACGAGTGTAGCAATCCGCTAACGCACATGCTTGTTCTGCGATCATCCTCTCTATTTTTCTGAGTCTGGCCTGCATGGCAAGGTTCGGGGTTGGAGCTTGGATTTGCTACATAGGAAATCTCATTGTATCTGAACCAGCTGTTTGGGTCTGCCAGAGATTCACAGCAATTTGAATGCAGAAATACTCAGAAATGCAATTTTGCACTTATTTTCTCATGATATGCCCTGTAGCATACCATATGAATGCTACATATGAACATGTGGACAACAAGAAAAACATGATTTTCATCGGAGTGGGTCTTTAAGCGTTATTAACGCTCCTGTGAGGAGTTTTATGGTGTCAGTGAAAAGACTGAAATTGACTGAGACTACCCAGGGACCATAGATGTGAATGCACTTTAAAGCTAACTCTGGCTAAGCAGTTGAGTTGTGCAAACTATGATTAAGTGTGTGATAATTTAAAAATAACATTACATGCATAAACATATTGTAGCAGGGAGATTAAATAAAAACGTGGGCTTTGAATTGTGATAGATTTAAAAAAGTGAGAGTCTTGTTACTAAATGTTAGGGCCGCAGATTACTCACTCCTTCCTCCTGGACAGCAGGAGACAGTCGTTGAACAGGTGGAGATACACAGGTTTGGTGGGGAATTTGAGCTTGGATCCTGAAATGCTCATCATCTGAGTGTCCACCTCCAGGAGCTCACCGTGTTTCACCAGCCAGCGGGACTGAGAGATCAGAGGGAAGATCTGCAACACAAGATGAATAAAAAGATGAATGAAGTGAGATGAGGAAGTAACAATTCAAACACACAAAAAAAGCTGAAACGTGTTCAGTCACCTTCCCCTCAAAATGGATTTTCTTGTTGAGGTGAATAAGTTCCTCCATCCTCTTCATGGACTGTACGCTGGAGTTACATTCTTTGATGATCTAAGGAGACACATACCAGGACTGTTATTACTGTTGTGCCTCAACAGAGATAATACCGCTCCCACCTGGCTATTATGGACCATAATCACTACCTTTTTTAGCTCATTGAAAGCTTTCGTGGCAGTGTCCTCATCTCTAGAGCCGGGTGTTGTCCTCTTTAAGATATTCTGAAAAATAAAAAGGTTTTGAAAACATGCCAGAGAGAAATCAATACTCTTGTTGTGCACTGTTAGAGAGAAAAAACCTGCTGCGGCAAACCGCTAAGCCTGGTCCAAATATTACCCCATTTACAGTTCTGTGTAATTGGGTTTCAAGTGCGAACATGAATTCTGCAGCGAATGTTTAATCATGTACCTCCACCAGCATTTTAAGCCGTGTGATCCTCTGAAACGGGAGGATTAGAAAAGAGGTCAGAGGAAGTCTTTGGCAGACGGGGTCCTCCTCCAAACGGGCCAGGATGCCGGGGAAACGAGGATTCTCATGCCTAAGAGGACCAGATGAGGAATTTTAGAAGAAAACTTTAATGACTTTTAGAGAAAGTGGGTTCAAATTCCAGCATAGTTTTCACTCTGAGTAAAAAGTCATCTCTCTCTTTGGATGAACCATCTGCAGGTTTAGTCATGCGGGTGTAAAATAACACCTGAATACCCTGAGAGGAAATTCTGGACACCCAGCGAGAAACAATTAGACTTTGTGCTCTAGTGCAATGAATGAACACAGATTGATCACAGCTGCTTATTCTGCACATGAGTTGAGAGGCAGGTTTTCAAAGTTTGAACTTACAGCAAACGCTGATATGTCTGCTCCTGATAAGCCTGGTTGGTAACGTAAGGTAAATAAACTCTTCGCAGAGCCGGGCAGTGATCCAGGACGATATCACACACATCGAAACGCAGAATGTCTTCCTCCAGCCGCCGCTCCAGGTCCTGAAGGAACCTACAGAGAGCAGAGAGAAAAAAAACCATTAGAGTAAAAGAAAGGAGAAATGAGGTGGAAAAAAAGGCCTGAGGGCAGCAGAGAGGTATCAGAAGTGAAACACTTCACCTCTCACTGACATCTTTGACTTCAGGCAGCTTGGAGAAGAGCCACTGCTTATGCTGAGCTCCAAGACACTCTGTGAGCTCCTGGGAGAGCATGAAGTGGTCCACTGCGATGGTCAGACTGCGGATGTATGAGGCCTCTGATGTCACCAGCTCAAACTTTGCCTAAGTAGATGAGGACACAGTCACTCAGACACTTGAATTTTATCAACCAATAATGAAGGTTATACAGTTTTATTAAAGTTTTATTTTGAGGCTATTATTCATTTACTGAGAAGTTAGGGCAGTAAATAGAATGGGATTTTTTATGACCTGAAAATCTGAGAAAAATAAATCATTTAGTGTTCCTCCTCGATAAAGCACCTCGAGACTGCAATCTCTGTAATGCTGCTTACAGGGACCAAACTAAACCCAGCACCAACCCTGTGCAGACCAGCCAAAAAGAAATTCACAAAGGCTTAAATGCACCACAAACTGCTACAGAGCAAACAGCATTACTGTACCCTGGTGTTTTCTGAACATATTTAAATTAGCCACTGTGCATTTTTGCCCCCTTTCTTTACAAATGAAGATTAGTACAAAAATGAATTGACTGATTTGCAGCTAAAAGCAAGTAGAGAAAAAAAATGGTTTTGCTGAAAGTCAGTGGTTATTGCACTGTTGTATTTAAAGGTGTTGTTAAACTCAACTCTTAAGTGATCAAGAGAACAACCCCACCTCTAGATGACAGGAAATGAATATGTTTGCATACTAAGTCAGTCAGGATCACTTTGGCAAATCATTTTCCTATGATTTTATTGGTTAAATCAGTTTAGAGCTGTCTGTGGGATGTGGACTGTGTAATAAAGCAGATCTAGTTAAGCCTTTTCTCATGTTTTTTTTTCCATCTGTGAAGAAATTAGATGTTTTTTTTAAATCAGAAAAATCATCAAATTAAAAAAAAAAGCCATTAGGATGGGGTTTATAGGTAAACTATGGATTTAGATGACTGTTCTGGGTCATTGGTTGAGGACACTTGGATGCCAATGATGAGTGCTGACATCCTAAAGCATTTTAATCCCTCTTCCACTCAACTTGTGTCATGTCATTCACCTCCTGTAATTTCCTTTCCTCATTGCTGAAGTTATCGAGCTGACCGCTGCTCCGAACATCAGGGATGTCCTGCCACAGTGCGAATGCAGAGCCTCGGGAAGAACGAAAGGAGCTGGATGGAGACAGATTAGAAGGAGACGGGGTCCCGTCTGATCCCTCATCCCTAAGCCCCTCCTCCTCTGTGCCTGGCTCCTTCCCCTGCTGCCTCTGGATCTCTCTGTTGATGGCAACATCGCTGTATTCTTGGTACAGAATTGCTGAAGGACATATGGAAGGTGAAAAAAAGTTATCAGAAAAGCAGTTACACTTCAGTTTTAATGATCGGAGGCAAAAGTTGATCATTCTTCAACTTACAGCTGGGTAAAAATCGTGATAAGCGATTTGAGCCAGCAACAGCTGGAGGTGTGCCTGAGTCCTCCTCTATGGATTTCTTCCTCATTCTATGAAGAAAACATTTGTTATCAGCATCAACACATTTCTGTTCATCTCCATTGTTTCCGAGTTGAAATATCTAAAGTCCATATTTACCCAAGTTTTGCGCTCCACCGATGTATTGGCATGCCATTGTCATTGGTGGGTGGCAGAGAAGGTGCAGGTCCAACAGGACTGTGGGGGGCGCTATCACTAGAACCACCTGAGCTCCGGTGTTTGGAGCTGGACTTGTCTAAAGAGGACAAGAATCAGAAGGAGCAGGTGTGAGATCTCAGAGCTCTCAGGTCAGCTCCCACGTCTTCATCATCTCATCTTTTCTTCTCCCTTTTTCCTTTTCCTAAATTGTTTTCTTAATTATTACATTATTTAAGTTCTTAATATTACAATCTTTATTTTTATAACTGCATTTTTGCACCCTTTGTCTGTGATGCTGCGGTGACAAAAAAGTTTCCCCCATGGGGGATCAATAGAGGAATATTCTATTCTATTTAGAGAGCAACAAGTTTCTGTGTTACAAGGACGTGTTCAGAGATTTGGGCCATTTTAGATCGTACAAGGATGTAAACCTTCAACACAAAAGAGACTGGGAATCTGTTCATGACATAGAATAAATACTCAGTATTAGACAGTGAATTGTTAGCTACGCTTGCTCAGTTGGTAGTACTGTCAGCATTTAAGACAAGGGCTGAGACTTTCTGAGGACAGGAAACAAGGTGTTTGAGGGAGATGATAGTGTTGTTTCATTCAGTAAGAGGATGAAGTGAGTGTAATGATTCTGGGCTTTTGAGGACTCTCATGTGACAGTATGGGTTTTGCTTATAGACTGTAAATAGAATGTACAGCATTTGCCTCCTTGCTAGGTGAAGCCACATTGAGAACAGCACCCTCTTGTATAGGTCTTAAAAATCCCACCTCCTCCAGCAATCTCTATGGAGTTGTGGACAATCTTAAGAGATGAATTACACAGAATATAAATGTATCTCCCCCCTGGTTGTGATGTTGACATGTAGTTATTGTAAGACTGGTTTGTGCTCAAGTCCTCTTTTTTCTGTGCAGCTCCGTTTTTAAGAGTTATTAGAGGGTTCATGTTTTCTATGATTGACACTTGATACAGCCTATGGGTGTACCAAGATTGCGTAGCTCAACCGGGGATACGCTGTTTGAGCTGAGTGTCATCACAACGACTCTTGGTGACTCTTCTGCTGAATGCATACAATGCTACTGTGAAAGTGGTGGAGTGTGTGCAACGCTACTGCACCATGTTGGTTTCATAAGGTGGGGAAAAAGACCTAGAAATACAAAGAGCGTTTTGGCTTCAAATACAGCGTAAGGCAGAGCAAAGTTGTCCACAGTCTGTATAGTCTATGGTTTTGCTTTGCTCTGTGCAGTCTCACTGATGCACTTTTATTCCCCTGGATTTTATATTGTCAGAACGGTCAAGAATCCCTATTCAGTTTGCATTTCATTGTGTGTTTTTATAGTATTCTATATTACGTCATATATTGTGTTTTTTTTACTCTGCATTGCAAACCACATCTCCACATGTCTACGACGAAACGCAGACAAGCTTCAAACATGGGAGTTCCCCAGAGGACAAATTTCCTTGTCATTTAGATGGAAGTTAATATTCCCGCTAACCTGCTGATTAACAGGTAAGAAAACACCTTAACAGCAGATTTATCTGATAAGGTTAAACAGAGACAGTCACTTTGTAAATGGTGTGAAAAAAGTTTGCTAAGAGTGACTAACATTAGCAGAGCTAGCACCGCCAGCCCTTGGTCCTCCTTGCAGGATAACACTGACGTGCCTACGCTGGTTAGATGTTGCTGTGGCTGAGTGATTATAATCCAGTTTAAGTAGACACAGCCTGCATACAGTTTTATTTTTTTTCTGGGTTAAACTGCTCCATCATCTGAGCTTGTTTACATCTGAATTTTAGAACATCATAGCAGTAGCTTCTCATTGCAGCTACAGCTCCATCTAGTGGTGGGTGTCTGACTGGCATTTTTGGCACATTTATAAAAGTATTAATTGTTCAAACCAGTGAGATTAATGACATTGATGACATTAGTTTAGTTCACCAGTCATAATAACATAACGATGATGATGGTTTGACAGTCTACTCACAGTCAAGGTTGGGGCTGAGGCAGGAACTCTGTCTGTCCCGTGAAGCGACCCGCGCAGAAAGTGACTTCCCCAACTTTAAAGTGAAGGAGGTCTTCCTCTGAGACAGCTGCAGTCTAGAGATCAGTTCTGAAGCTGAGAAGCGCCGCCGTTCCTGGTCCCCTTGGCGACTACGTGACAGAAAGCTCCCCCCTGTGGCGCATAATGCCTCTACTGTCCCGCTGTCCTCGCCTACACATTGAAACGAGTCCTCTATAATGTGCAGGGGTTCTTCAGGCAGATTGAAAATATCATCATGACTGAGGTTTGACAAATCTGTAACACCGTCTGTAGATGATGCACTGGACATTGCCTCTAAGGAAGATAATCCACTGAGGTCCTCCTCTAGGAAGGATGCAAAGGGTCCTGGGAAGATAAAGTCTGGGTCCAGGATTGGGCTGCTGAGAGATTCATCACTGAGGCTGTCTGGGGAGTAAACCTGCATCTTTCGCCCTGGAAAAAAAAAAAACGTCCCTGTTAGGTTAAGGATTTAGAGTTTGGAGTAACTCGAGTCATCTCATGAGAGCAGCTCTATACTTACGTATGGACTTCTCTTTCAGTGAGCCCTGTGATGTCCTCCTTTGGGGCTGGCAGGAGTCAGGGCTCTGACATCCTGGACCTTCAGGAGAGGATGGGGAACATGGCACCTGAGAGTCCCAGGAGTCTCTGTTTGTATACAGAGAGGACAGAGGGAACGACAGGGGGAGGCTAAGAGCTGCATGAAGGGGTCGACATACTGTTGTGATACAACGTGGCTTTTCAGTTTGCTCCTGCAGAGAAGTCCTGACGCCATTATGGCATTCTAGCTCACTGTCACTCTCAGGTGTATGAGAGTTCAGATTCAGAGTTGTTTCCTGCTCATTGTCTGTCCTGTTGCAGCTCCTCTGCACGTCATTCAGTTCATTGAATGTGTGTCTAAATCCATTCAGGGGCCGGGATTGTGTGGTGAATTGTGTGTCTGGAAGAGTTTGCCTTGGAGAGCTGAGTCTGTTTATTTTAGGAGTCACTGGCGGCTGTATCTCAATGAAAGCCAAAGTTTCCTGTTGGCACACAGCAACATGCTTATGGTGGCAGGGGTGGAGGAGAGGCCTGTCCCCCTGGGCCTCACTTAGAGCCTGGGACTCTCCTGACCCGGGGATCCACATGCTAGAACTCTCTGCTCTGCAGTGAAAAGCGTGACGGTGGGGTTGAAAATCAGGAAAAGGTGAGAATCCATAACCAGGGAGCATGGCTGGATGAACACATCAGAGCTGGAGAAGGAGAGAGGGGAAATATTCAGCTTTGAGACACATGAAAAACTGTTCTGTTGTTTAATTCATATGACAATACAAATTTATTAAAAATACCAACAACCTGTCAGACAAAAGACTGAAGCTTAACCCTAGTATAGGGTGACCATATTCTGAGTCCCCAAAAAGAGGACACTACCACGTGGGGTGGAGTCACACATTGTAAATTTTTGGGGTTTTTCAGTTTGGGTCGAGTGTTGTTTCTTGCATCCTTCTAACTTAATTAGTCCATGTTACACAAACTCAAAACTTCCATACAAAACCTCGGACATTTGAAAGATTTTTAAAATCCCCCCGGACAAGGCTGGACAGCCCCCAAAAAAGAGGACATATGGTCACCCTAACCTAGTCCACCTGACCATTTGATCCGTATTTGTGCTTTGTCATTCCTTCATCACACTGAAACATATTCTGACTATTCTTTGGCACAGTTCAGGCAGAGTGGTAAAGCTTTTTCAATTGTGCTTTTTCACAGTTTAACAAAATCACAGAGTAACAGCAAAAGACTGACACAGAAAATACCTCATATCTGTTTTAAATGTATTCAAGCCACACAAATGTCTCTGCTCAACTAGAGAAAATCTATAAAACAGAGATTAGTATAAAGAAATCAATAATGACCCTTATGGGAAGCCCCAGTGGCCTAATGGATAAGGCACTGGCCTCCTAAGCCAGGGATTGTGGGTTCGAGTCCCATCTGGGGTGGTTTATTGTAGAGACACTAGACTTGAAAGTGGACACTATTGAAGTCCCCTTGAGCAAGGTGCTAACTGTACTCATCAGTGTGCAGCCTCTTCAGTCTTACATCTCTCCTTTAGTGCATGTTCAAAGGGTCGTTTTTTGAAGTGTATTTTGTTCCTCACTTGTGCTTAATGTCATTAAAATAGAAAAAAAAAAGATCTCCTGTCACAGATTAAGTAGAGACATTTACCTGCCACAACATTAGGCACACCTGGACAATCTGATGCAATCCAATACAACAGAGCTCCCACCGATTCTGTTATATTGAGCCATAGCTACAGTCACTGGTTAGATTCTTGGCTGTGGCCCTTTGCTTCATGTCCACCCCCACATTTCCTGTCTATCCTCAGCTGCAAAAATACCCCAAAACACAACTTAAAATAAAACCATGATAAACACAGCACCACAGTGCATCGAAAAAAAATCGACATATGAAGACAGCTATGACCTCAAAACAGTATTGGGATTATTTGACATCACCACGCAGCAATTGTTACCATTTTTCAAATTGAATTTTGAATTTCTATACTAACCTCCCAATACTTTTACTGTATTTATGAAATTACATGTCAGCTATAATCATTCCAATCTTCTTTCTGAAACACATGATAAAACAAATCCGCTGATTGACTTCTCTTTTTTTTATTTGTGGCCTTAATAGTGAGAAGGATACTGAAATGTTCCCTTAAAAAAGAACAGTTTTATCTCTTTAAAGTAATACAGAAGAGACCTCTTATCCAGCTACCAAACAAGCCTTTGGCTGAGTGAACACCACTCTCTGTTCACTGCTTGGCTTAGTGTCGCCGCAGGATTCCACCAACTCAACCAAGTGTTACGTTGTCTGTTCAGTTATATGAACGATAAGCAGGGCTGTCCAAGTTTCATTAAGTATTCAGAGTCTGAGGGTGTGGGGTTGATGGAGCTGGTAGAGGAATGACTCACTGAGATGGGCCCTGTTTGGACTGATGCAGCACACACACACACACACTCACACACACACACACACACACACACACACACACACACACACACACACACACACACACACACACACACACAATGAGCAGATACTCCTGGAATTAGCAGGACGGACTCAAAAACTATTGACGCGTGCAGGATGTTTCCCCGTCAAACCCCAGGCGCACACATGTGCCTGCACGGACACACACATGTGCCTGCACGGACACACGCACACACACACACACACACACACACACACACACACACACACACACACACACACACACACACACACACACTTAAGTCTAGGTTAGTGTGTCTCCTGAGCCGTGTCTTCCTGCTTTAATTAAAGACCTCCTTTTACGCAGCATTCAGCCCCTGTACTTAACATCTTTACACACACACACACACACACACACACACACACACACACACACACACACACACACACACACACACACACACACACACATAAAGCAACACCCCAGTTCCAGACAGGATACCACAAGAGACAGGCAGACAGAGGACGAGAGCTCATCCTCAGCACTCTCACCTTTCACCTGAGATCTATACTCATCCATCACTCTGCTTGTTGGTTTTCTGTCAGCTCAACTTCGCAAAGAGGCACCTCTTCTGATTGTCTTTTTACAGTGAGTGTGTGCTCAAACCTCAGCAGGTAATGAAGCCGGCTCTCCTGAATAAACACACTTTGGGGGGGTTAAAGTTTAACACAAAGGAAAAGAAAAGCTGAGATAAATAAGTATGTGCAGATACAAGGAGAGGCACACTAGGCTGTAGATTTGTCCGTAGCCAAACACTTTTTTCAATTTCTTTGTTGTTTTTCAAATAAAAACCAGATGACATGGTTAGTAGGCATCATGGGAGACTTTTCTAATATTACTGTCTGTTTATTTTGGGAGTGCAACACTTTGGATTAGTTGTTAATGGTTGATTCAGCAACAACAGAGATAACAGAAGTTAAACACAAAAAAAAGGAAATGGAGAGGAATGGGTTATTACAGCAGGAGCTGAGACAGAGACATCTACCAAATTGAAGAAAACAGGCGTACACTCACTGTAGCAGGCGTGGGCTTTGGCTGGGTTACAGGACTAGTTGCGTAGAAAGAAAACACCAGCTGAAAAGTTAAAAGGAGGAGGAGGACCTCATACAGGTACTTGTTATTTTCTGAATCAGTTACAAATTGTCAACAGGAAACCAGCTTCATTGTGGTTTCAAATGTGTCTGTGTACGTAAATATTAAAGCAGAGAATCCAAACTGGCTCAGAGAAAATGATCCTTTTGTTATTACAGAGAGGTCAGGCTGTTTAGCTTATTAAAAACTAACCTATAAAAAATTAGCTGATCTTGACTAGGGTAGCTTTGTGATGCAAGTTGGCACAGCGTTTTAGCCAGGTTAAAGCTACTGTGAGGAACGTCTGGTTTGTGTCAATTTTGGTGCACCCTGTGGACAAAACAGTCTTCTCCTTTCTTGTCATCCACACACAAAAGTATTGTCCCATTATTCTGACTTTTGACCGTCAAACGTATTGTTATTATTATTATTATTATTATTATTTTACATTTAATGTGGAAATGTAAAATCAAGGCTGTTTTTTCAGCTGCTCAGCTGACTCCCACCCCCCTCACACTTATTCAAGGTTTTGAAATTGAAATATAAAAATCACCAATCTTGTCACTGATGGTCTTGTTTGCTTCTGTATGTCATCAAAAGACATCAGTGGAAAGTCCAGTCTAATTCATTAACATTAAAAAACTCCTCGCAGGAGCTTTAAGTGAGCCAGCTGGCTCTGAAAACTCTGACTTTAAAATCAACTGACCTACTGCACCCTCAACCTTTAATCTGGAGGTTTTTGCATTTGTGCCACATTCCTGTACTACTGACAGTGTTACACAGAGCTTTCAGGCTTTATTCTGCCTTTCACTGGATGTGACTGTAGCGACTCTGCCAGCAGCCTAGCATACAGTGGTTGTAATTATATCCCAGTGCATAGACTTACAGGCACACACACACATACACACAGACGCCTATAACACAATTTGTAAGCACATGTAAATGTTTGTGCTGTACCAAACAGTTCAATGTTTTATCATCCCAAGTTTATATCAATGTGGGACATTATTTTCAAAGTAAACACTGACAATTGATTTAGTCCGTGTTTTGGCATTTAGTAGAATTCTTCAGCTGGTCCCTCTCCCGTCTGCCTACCCTTCAAACACAGCACACTGTATGGTGTGCGTCTTCAAAGAGGGACACACTCTGTGAATGTTAATCATTAACTCTCTTTACCTGTTTCTTCACACATACAGACACGGTTCAAGTAAAAACAACCCCTGATAATGCATTTGTTTGAGATTTAGAGTTCCCTGTGGCATTAAATCTTTATGAGTAATGAATATTAATATAGTAGTTAAATAAAGCATCATATTTAACTGCAGTGATTTCCATGAGCAGAGGAGTGTCTCTTAAAGAGGATTAGAGCTTGAATTAACGCTTGTTCCTAAAGTATAATTTGTTTATTATGGTGTTTGTTTGCCTGGAGACTGGAAATCACAGTTTACCTCGTTTTTTTTGAGGAGTGTGAGGAGTGCTGCGAATATGAAGCTGTTGAAAAGCCACACCTGTTCTGGAGGCAACGGTAGATGGCTGAGTCAATCCTATCTCTCCCTCTCTCTCTCTCTTCTACACACACCCATGTTGCATGCATGTATGCGCGCACACACACACACACACACACACACACACACACACACACACACACTGAGTGCAGGCACAAATGGTTACCTGTTCTCTGCTGCAGACAAAGACAGCCTTTATGAGTGTGCTTGGGCCCGGCTGCCCTCAGCACAGGACACCTGAGAGGGTGTGGGAACTGTTTATACTGATCAGCTCATATAGTGCAGCCACTGAGCCATATAAACACATTCAGTGCACTGCTGCATAATAACACAAGCTCTTTTGGTGTCTGCATGTGATTACAGCCTGGTTATAGTGTAATCCTGCTGCAGATGTACAGCATTAACCAAACTTCAAACACCTCTGTCTGCAGTCTGTCGTGTCAGAGTGCAGATGAATTATTTCCCTTAACACATTGTATGATCAACAAAACTGTATTTCATGATCAGCTAATCTTCAAAGATAATCCCTTAATCCTCCACAAAGAGCTGTGTCTCCATAAATCAGCATACTCTTTGTAGAAAATGAGCTTTCTGCTATTTC